CGCGCGGAGGAGATAAATAAAGATCAGCCCAGGCCAAGTGCGGTGCGGTGCTCCCTCGCTTCGGGGCTAGTTAGTTGAAACCGTCGAGAAAAAAAAAAAAAAAGGCACTAACTAGAATCACCTCCTTCGAAACAAAGCCCGAAGTCGATCCCTTCGACACGTGGGAAAATGCCGTTTTGGGGCCTGGAAATGGTCAGCTAGCTATTTTCTCCTCTCTATCCCCCCCGTTGGGCCGAGATTCGTCGTGGGGTGGGGGGGGGGGGACCACGAGTCGACGAAAGCCACCGCAATCGGCGCCGCTCCGTCCAATATAGGTTTACAAATCCCTGGCGACTAATCACCGCAGCTCCGGCGCCATTCGGGTAGCTATATAGTCACTGTACCAGGGTCTTGCGTTGTTATCGAAAAAGTACTTCATTTGTCATGATTGTTACTGTTCCTGGGAATGATTCAATCAATGCCTTCTTGCTCTTCGGATTGTTGAGTTACAGGGAAGGGGAGCCAGTCACCCCTCGGCTCTTCTCAATAATAATATCCATGGCATGGCATGGACCATGGGAAAATCTCTCGTGGTTGATGGTGGTCGGGGGGGGTCCACACACTCCATTATTATTAGTTATTACTTAAAAAAGGTTAAAAAGGGAAAATAAATGAATAAAAAATACGAGCGAGCACCAGCGGGGCATCCGGAAAGTGTTAAAAAAATAAAAAAATAAAAAAATAAAAAAAGAACATGAACAACGGTTCTGCATGTCATCTCATCTCCTCCTCTCTCAAGAGGAACTAACTACAACTCTGCAAAGCAACCGTGGCACAGAATAATATGATGTCAATTCTGACTAACGTTAAAACCAGATAAGCCGACGATTCGGCGGGTCTTGCAACGGTCAGAAGGGGAAGAACCAGACTGACGAAGAAGGCTGATGGAAGTAAGTAAATCTGTAGTTAGTTTACTGTACGGAGTACGGAGTACCTGTAATAAAAGTGGCATAACTATCTCTTATGTCCCCAGGTTGAAACCCGTACCGTACCTGGCTAAGAAGCCAACAAGGGGGAGTCATTTCCGCACACACTGAACCCCACCAGGAAAATGTACTCCGTACAGCAACACCGGAATGGAGTCAGACAGTGAGATTGTTTTTTTTTTTTTTCCAGTTGTAACTACACGACTCCCTTCCTCTTATCTCATGCAAATAATCATAAAGGCTTAGTGAAGCTCCTGGCTCATCCTTCTCATGCGCATGCGCATAAAAGGATAATCGGAGATTATATCTTGGGGCATCTTGCAATGGAAAAATCAAATCCTTCATGTAAAAATATAACTGTAACAGTGCGCCATGCAATGTCCTCTCAACCAGCCAGGTGGTAACTAATGTACATGTACATTACATTACATTGCTATCTTTACTCTGTACTCTGTTTCCAGTTTCATGGATTTCACGGATTTCACGGATTTCACGGACGTTGGAATATTAACTAATTCATAAGCTCAGAGTTAGAACTATCCCATTTCCCACACTGCCAATTTTGGCCGCCACCCCTCGGGAATGAACCAATGCCACGGCATTGACGGGAGTGCCGGCAATAATAATTATCATAATAGTAATCATCAATATATATATATAAGGTTTTTTCCCCTGCCTTTCTCTTCCCACAACAATCCGCAAAACGTGTCGGGTGGGTGGGTGGGTGGGTCGGAGGGAAGAAAGATAACAGGAAGTTCCTGAGCAACCAACTTTCAAAGGATAATAATTATTATTTTATAAGGACGAGCTCCAAGAGGTGAACATTCTCACCCTATCATCCAGCTCACGTATGTATACTTATACTTGTATTATTATTATAATAATGTTGTGTGTTATCATTACTAACATCTAGGCCCCGTCTACGGATGGATGGACGCACGCTGCGTACTACTACTAGTGATGTATGTATGTATGGTACAACGGCGGATGAGAGATCCACTCCTTCTGGAATCGTTCTGCGTTCCAAAATGCGATTAGACTTTCTGCTTGGATGGGGGGCCTGGCCAACAAAAGTTACCATTGGTATACCAGAGAGAGTACAAAGAATTAAAACCAGCATTGGCTATTATTATTATTCTGATCAATGAAGAAACTCTTCTATTTAACAGATGTAAGATGTATTTGAGTTGAGTTGATTGGCTGACTTGTGCAAGCTGAAGATTGTGAAAAGCTTACCTGAGAAAATAGCATCATAACTATATTCTCTTGTGCTTGCTATGTGAGAAAAAAAACCTTCTTTGAACTATTTCAATCTTGATTTCTTTTACAATAATTAATATATGATCAGCTAGACAATTTCTATTTTTATCAAAGTAAAACAGTCAATGTCAGAAGTCAGTTTATAGTTTTCTGTATATGACAACTTGTCTCTTTTCTACATACATACATATATCCATTGAAGCTTGTGATACATATAATAACATTCAAGCATTACTACATGTATGTATGTATGTAATGTTACATGTACATGATGCTGTGCAGATATGCAGCTGCAAGAATGATCAGATATATTAATAGCTTCAGTCAAAAGCATAGATTTTCATAGTACAGTACAATACAGATGTACTCACAACAAATGGCAGAGTAAGGCTTTAAACCTGTTTCTTGGTGTGTACTATACTGCTTCTATAAATTTTCTATGTAATTATAACAGATCATGCATAGATACAGAGAAGGAAGAGGCAAAATTGAAAAGCAAAAGCAGTACTCTGTAATTATTATAGAGTTCTGCAGATCTCTGTTTCAAGAACAGGTTTTGAATATGACAAGATGATCTTCAGCTCTCTCTCTCTCTGAAAACAAATGTATTTTTTGCATTCAGACTCAGATTTTTGTCTACTGTGGACATGGACAAAGAAAGCAGAGAAGGCTGCTATTCATACATGTAGACTATGTAGTATCTCTTAGAAACTGTTCAATCACAGCAGTTATTTGTTTTAATATATTGGCATCATTTTAGGGATAGAGGTGTGATGGCTGAGAAAAAAGAAAGAAAAAGAAAAAAAAAAGCAGCAAAGTAAGTGAGAGAGATTGCTACTCTCAGCTCAATGGTCTTGTTGCTTGCTTTTTTTCTTCTTCTTTCCCGCTTGGTATCACCCTCCGATTATCACCACCACCGCCTGTGGAGTGGATGTTACAAGGCTGGGTAGAGGAACTTGCTCTGCTGACCTGCTTTGCATGTACTGTACGTACGTACTCTGTGCATCAGGCTCGGACGGGATTATTATGCTGTCATGATTTTCCGGCATCGTATCGTATCTTGAAACTTGATCCCATCCCTCCCCTCCCCCTTGTCACCAACCACCCTGTTAGGCTGCGACAGAGCTATGTCTGGCTAGTGCATGGATATGAATCATAGTGGTTATTAGAGGTGGGGGACCGAAGGAAGAATGAAGGACTTGACTGCTAAGAGTGGGATGGCTTGCCCTTGCTCTGCTCCGGAGTTAGTTAGTTACAGGTTTGGGATCCCCCAAGGCTTCCACTAGGTTACTGTCATTGATGATGGCAGCTCGGATCTAAGCTAATAAGTAAGTACGGTAGGTACGTACTTGACTAACTTCCTCCGTAGCTATCCTTTTTTTTTTTACTAGAACAGAAGCAAGCAAGCCACCGCAGCCACCGCAGCCACTGCCAATCTTGCTCAGAGAAAGGGAAGATGGAACCCAAGACCAGATCAGACCAGGCCAGGCCTGGTTCAAGCGGGTAGATAGATTGGAGGTTATCAAAGGGATGCATGCGGATGGGATGGGATGGGCTGTTTGCGAAGAGTAGATACTTCTGTCTGTTACTCTGTACTCTGTAACTACGGAGTACTCTGTCCTGTAGAGTGTGAATGGCCAATAATAGAGGAATAAGGATAGCTACAGGCAGACAGACATAAGCTGGTTTGAAAGAAACGAAAGCCTGATGAAGCCCAACAACAACAACGCAACGTCCCCCCCCCCAATCCCTGCTTGTCTGCCGTTTCCATTGCTCTGTGGCAGATGGAAGATGGAATCCTGCTGGTTATTGCATATTGAGTATTAAATTACGGAGTACTGTATTATTATTTCACTACAGTGTTTGATGTGTTTTTGTTTGGGGATTAACCAGTGCATTGCGCGGCTCAAAATAAGGGGACAAACAGCTGGATTTCAATACACAAAGAGAAGAATAATAAGTAAAGGAGAGAGAGAGAGAGTTAGTTATTTATTATATTATGTTGTATATTATTTTTTCATTAACAGAGTTAACCTTTTTTTATTTAAACTTTGTCACATCGCCCCAAGACGAAGTCTTATTTCTTCTTCTGTCTTTGTTCTTGTCTCGCCCACTTTTCGCTCCACTCCGGCGTCTGCTCCTGAGTCGAGCCTGAGTCTGAGTCTGAGTCTGAGTCTGGAGTCTGAGTCTGGAGTCTGATGAGAGTCTGTCTGTCTGTCTGTCTGGAGTCCTTTTCTCGCAGCTCTCTTTTTTTTTCCCCGTCACAATCCACCACATCCACATCCACATCCACCACATCCACTGCGACATCCACTGCGACGTCCACTACGACGTCCACTACGACATCCACCACTCCATCCACCACTCCATCCATCCCTGCGACCAATCCGCCCACACTGTTTCTCAGCATCCCCGGCGGCGACTCCACCGCCCTCTTGTGCAGCCGGTTCGCGGGTGCTGGATTACAATTATTATATCATCGGCTTGTCTCCCGCGCTCCAGTCCAGTCCAGCTCCAGCCCTGCTGTAACGGCTTACTTCCTCCAATTTTGAGCTCTATCTCACCCACCCTCAACCTCAACCCTCCTGAAGAGACGACTACTGCTCGTCCTCAATCCATTTGTTTTTATCTTATTTTTAATCATTTCATCCCCTCATCTGCCTCCATATCCCATCTGTCTATCTATTATCTATTCTTTGAAACTATGTCTCAATGCGCAGTATGGCGTCGTGATTCTCCCACCACATCTTAGTCCTTACTTCGGCCCCTTTCGCCATGGATTTCATTGTAAGTCCTTTTTCATTCTTACTGTCTTCTCCTGCGGTCTGTTGGCTTCTGTTGCCATTACCCTCCCTTCTTCTTCCTCTCCCCTCCATGCCCCGATCGCTCTGCTTTACTTGGCTGGGAGACGATGGTGGTCGTGGTCGCGAAGAAGGCCCACATGTTTCGATGCCCAGACAAACGCCATAGCTATATAGCTATCTATCTATCTTCCTGGACGACGGAACGTGGCGACCACACGGCCATCCGTGATGCGATGCGTGACTAGGCTGTTACTGCGTCACCGCCACTCATCCGTCACGTTCTTTCTATGCTCTGTGTCCCTTTGCGACGCTGTGTCATATCTGGACACATTCCATCGGCTTCTTTTCTTTCCGAGCAAAAGCCAAGTCACCGAAGCACCACAGTGATACACAGCATCGCGTACATGCAACTCACTCGTCTCTTGTTCTTGTGGCACATACGCTGCTTATCTCTCGCATATTACCCGCGACAACTTCGTTTTTTTTTTTTTTTTTTTTTTTTTTTTTTTTTTTCTGACTTTGACTTGAAGTTATTTCTCCCTGACGTACTGACCGGCTGTTCGTGTTTACGATTTATAGCTATCCTTGACGCACTTCTGCGAAGTGCATGGCCCGACATCCGTCCTCTGTTCCCAAGTGATACCCTCCTCCTGCGCGCAATGTTACCCAGACACCTATGACATCTCACCTAGCGATACTCCCTTGTCCTCTCACGCCACTTCCCCTTCCCTGCATTCCCGTGACGCTGGTCGACCTGGAAAACCCGATCAGCAATCTATAACGCCACCGGATATCGCCGTCAGCAGCTCTCTAAACGGCTGCTCCTCATCTAGCCTCGATCCCCTACCCTCCCCTCTCGCTTCAGCCCCAACGCCCAGCCAGCGAATAGAAGACCATCCCTGGTTCTTGAACCGGCTATCAGGCCGCGCTGATACGGACAGACTTAGTCGCATTGCTCGTGCTGATAGTGAAACCTGCGCAAGCTGCAGCCTAACAGTCCCAAAGGGAGTAAGTAAACAGCTTCCACCCGGCGGGCCGGGAACTTTGAAGGAAGATGGCAAAAGTAGGAATGGAAGTCCCGTGCTACGCTCCAGGGAAGTTGTATACTCCTGTAGCGGATCGCGAGCGGATTACAACACAGAACCCCACCAACGCCATTCGTCTCCAGCCTCACTTCACTCCTCCGTCTCGTCGGAAACATCCTCATGCCATACACATATCGTAAACTACCTCTCCTTACGCGGTCCGCCAAATCCCGACGACTATGCTCTTCTACGCAGCGCTTCAATCCGAACACTGAGCTGTGAGCTCCTCCCCCGTGGGCTCTCATCTGGGCCCTTATCATTCGGCGACTCCTCCGCCGGCTACACTATCGCTTATGTCTTTCGCCTCCCAGACCCCATGGCTCGCGGCAAACGCCGCAGCTATGCGCTCATTGCCCTGGCAGGCAAGGACGCTGGAAGGGCCTTCCGCGCTTCCCCAGTCATCTGGCGCGTTTTCGGCCGTATTGCCGCGAGCATCGTAAATGCAGCCGAGCGACACCAGGACTCGGAAAAACGCAAGGAAGAGGGCGCGGTTTCTAAAGCTGGTGCTGGCGCTGCTACTACTGCCAGTATGGCCAACGGACGCAACTACACGCCCATATCCTCGTTCCTAACCGGCCGAACCCTAGATCCAGACGGCCAACCGCGCCGCGCCGGCCAGATTCGTGCTCGCAATCTTGCAGAGATCGTGGAGAACGAATACATCTTTACAGAACTACATGCGCAATTTGTCGCGTTGCTCCAGCAGCTGTGTGCCATGTTTGGCGGACCCCGTATCCCGGACGATCGCTCGGTGTGCAGCTCGTTTGAAGAGGACACGTTTTCCCCCCGTCGACAGTCATTGTCCGGGGATTGCGGGAAAGGGTCTACTGGCACCGGTGCGACCACTGCTAGATCAAACGGCCCTGTCGATACGAGTAATCCTGGGCGTGGTTATGATTCCTCCTCTGTCATTCTCCCCCCCTCCCCGAAACCAATACCCATATCCCATCGCGGACGACAGCTAGCAGCCTAGGGAAGGTTAAGCGTCCGCGCCTCCTTGTTCGAATTCGATCTTCCATCCACCACCAAACGAAATATTTCTTACCTCCTACACTATCCGACTCTTATCCCTTTTCAGTGCTCCCTTTCTCATATTTCTTTTCTGTTGCATACAAACCATATACCCCAACCCATCTATCTCTCTTTCGATTTAGCCATTTTTTTCTTCTTAAATATACCTCTTTCCTTTTTACCCTTTTTTTTTCTTTTTTTTTCTTTTTTTTCTTTTTTTTCCGGGTTTCTCTACCATCGAATACATTTTTAACGCGATCACGGCTTTACTTTGCATATGACAACAACCACAACACCTACTTGAACCTCGAAACACGCAATCGAATTCCTGAGTACCTACTCCCACCCAGGCAAGAAGCACAACCCGCCCAACTCCGCGCCCGCTCACCATTCCCGCCACCCTTCCAGCCATTTATATATATATATATCTATATACATATTTAATCACCATACGATACCATCTGATTTCACTTCTCTGAATATAATTGGCAACCTCTTCTCCCGCCACAACTTCTATTTTAAATACCTCGTACCTATCTACCTCTCCCTATTATCAGGGTGGAATCTTTGTCCTCGATTCTCTGCGCGGGACGAAACGCGAACATCTTGCGTTCCAAAGCCCCCAAACCTCCTTTTTGCCTGTGGGGGCGATGGACGGGTGTGAAATATCATCCGGCTTCGATGATGATGATGATGATGATGAAACCACCCCCTTCCCTTCCCCTCCCCTCCCGCCGATAATATTTAAGAACCTCCCGCCCTTTTCTCACTCTTGTCCTAACGGCCGATGAGCGTTTTTATTATTTATTTTTCCATATCCCTTCTTCCATTTCTTGCGAATATACATCTTGTATATCTCCACCAGAGTGTGTTTGTGGCGGGGAGGCAAATGGTGGTTCATCATCATCATCTATCTTCTTTGGTCCGCTATGTATCCTTCTTACCCCACCTTGTTTTCGGGGATTATTTATATTCATTTTCTTTTCTTCATTTGTTTTTACACATTTATCTTATTATCTATTTTTAATTTTAGTTTTTTCTTTATATGTTTTTTAATCAACAGAAGAGGGAGGACGGGGGAGGATGTACGTTTATGCGAAATCGGACTTTCCCCCCCCTATCCCTATCCTACCACGACGATTCCCTGACATTCGACACATGAAGTTAATAAAGAGGCAAGCCAGGATGGGGGAATATTCTTTTGGGTTTTTTTTTTTTTTTTTTTTTTTTTTTTTTTTTTTTTTTAATTTATAATCTCTCTCCTTTCTCTCTCTGTTTTTTTCCTTCGGAGTTATCATCACTTTTTCATCGTCAACATCATCACCAAAGGAAGAGATGGGTGGATGGATGGAATGGAATGGGATGGGATGGGCTGAGATAACGGAAACCGGCGAAATATGGAGGGTTTTTTTCACTTGATTTCATATATAGAATTTTTTAGGGAACTTTCTTTTTTTCTCTCCTTTTCCAACCACCCTTCAACTACCTTTTTCTCTCCCTTATCAAATAAATAATGCTTTTTAGTTTTGTGTTAGCAGCGTCGCATCGCGGGTCTTTATATAGATATAGGTAGATTAGGGTGGGGTCCAATGATTGTTTTAGCCATTGAAATTTCTCCTTCCTTGGTGTCTCTTTCAATGTGAAGTTACATACGGAGTACATAGGAATATATACTTACATGCATGCAAAGGTTATCCTGATCAGTTTTGTATGTATGGACTGGATTTCTATACATTCATTCACATGTAATTAACTCATAATTAACTCACCCCATCATCCTCCCCCCCACGCCCGCCGCCCATCTCAGAGAAGGCCAATTAACTTATTACAATTACAATTACAATTACAATTACAATATTAATTGCTGGTGACTATCCATTAAGACTCGGAATCCGTCTCCGGCCCAAAAATACTCTCCAGATAAACAACCCTCCTTTCTCTCCCGCCGCTCTTCCCGCCTATAAACGTCATCGTGGCCCCTCCATTGCCCCCTCCCTCCCCTCCCCTATTTACCTTTGCCTCCCTCCTGTCTGCTTCTTCATTCGTGGTCCTTGAAAAAAAAAACTTTAGGAGGGTTATTATTTTTGCGTACCTACCTGGTACCTACTCTACACCCACTTCCACTATTCTTGTGCAAGGACACACCGTTTCTTCCTTCTTTCCTTCCGATCCCGCTTCGTCTCGTCTCTCTCTTGTTATCGCCGTCTTCCGGGGGACGTTTTCGTTTCTTTGTGTAATTATTTGCATTATGTCCCCCATCGTTGCACGTTCGTATTTCATTTTTTCATCCACAGGTACGTTCATGTACATGTCCTGTACAATATTATCAGTAGTTAGGCTGGTTAAACCCCAATGCTTCCAGCGCCTGGTTTTGATTTGTTATTGTTTTATATGATTTGATGGGATGGGGGGTCAACAAAAAGGGTTCTTTCTAGGAGGGCTACGCTGGAAAAGCCTCGATCAGACACCCAGCTCTGGAGGGCTACTACGCTGCGTAGTAGCTATCCGGACGGACCGGAACGGACAAGGTAAGTTTGTTTATGCCTCTTTTCTTCTCTTATCTCCTCCTTTGGAAAAAACATTATGTTCGCCGGGAAATTTTGGTGGGGAGGAGAGCTTGTGGGACCCCCTCCCAGACTGATTTCCGTTTACCATTTCAAATTCCCACTGATGAATGGGCAGGCAAATGGAGGCAAATGGAGGGATGGAGGGGAGAGCAATAAGGGATATCCGCAGGCTCCCGGTGATACCCCACCGCCTCGTCTTCGTCTTGTAAGAGATTGAAGTCACAGCGATTACACTCTACTCTGGATGGATCAATGGAGCTATGGATAGAGGGAACTACTACTACTACTACTGAAGGGGAAGCCAGTCGACGAGTGCAACTTATCGGCCGAGATATATATCTTATCTCGCTACCGGGAGGCCCAGCTCAAGGCTAGGGAGAGCTGGATCCCGCTGAATGAAACCTCTGTAAGACACTATTTGGTGCTCTAAGACCCCTGATATTGCAGCTAGTCACTGAATTGAATCCCCGAATTCCTCAGGAGACCGTGAAGTGAATGTACAATTTCTTTCTTATACCGTCTCTCCAGAAAGCAGAGTAGGCGACGGTGTGCCAGACCGGGGTATCCAGAAGGCAGTTGCGCATATGCGGGTGATCGCGCACCGAGTCCAATTGAACTGGTTTCAGATACATACCAACCATAAGGATTCAGCTTTATGTATCATGCTTGTTCTAGTTGAACAGGAATATACTCGGTCTATAAGCAATGAGATAGGTGAAAATAAAAAGAGTGCCTGGAATGGACCTTGTGCTAAAAATATACAGTTGAAGTTCCGTGGTAACTAGAGAATGAGATGCCATTGGCCCACGTGAGCTAGTGATCAGAGAATAAAGAACGAGAAGTAATAACCTACCGTTTTGGGCAATTGAAAAACATCTCATCAAAGGTTTTCTATACCTCTTTGCAGCAAAACAATGGAATAGAACTTTTTTTGAGGGCGAAGAGGGGCAGGTACAGAATGACATCATAACCCTAATCTTATCGATCTGATCTTATGCGATCATCACATGATATCAATGTTTAAATTTCAAGATTATTTTGCTGCCACCAGCTGGAAGTCCTGAGTTGGGCATCGGCCACTGGCATCAAGTCGAAGATTGTGCTGTGTCGTGTGGCAGATTGTTTGCATATAGAAGCCGTACACTTTTGTGCGAACGGGGATAGATACATTTCTGACATATTTCGTGAAAGATGGATCAGTACGATAGCGACTCCTCAGGAATTGACGATTTCACCGAGACCAACGTCCTCCTTGGCTACGCCGATGACGATGCTTCAGACGATTCGATCAGTCACCTGGGCGGATGGCCGGTATGAAAGTTCTTTAAATATTTTATTTTATCCAGTTTCTATTTTCTTTATTCTCCTACGCTTGTGGACAGCTAATTACCCAAATCGATAGACCTGGCTTGACCCCGCGACCCCACCACCCGGTGACTTCGCCAGATGTAAGGTCTGCAACAACCCAATGCTACTTCTCCTACAATTAAACGGTGACCTGCCAGAACACTTTCCTCACGATGAACGGTGGCTGTATATCTTTGGGTGCCCCAGGAAATCCTGCACCAGGAAGAATGGCAGCTTACGGGCGCTGCGCGGTGTGAAGAAACACAAAATCGTAAATTCATCCTCACGACAACAGCAAAATAACCAGCCTGAGAAAACGGGAAAGGCTCCAGAACCCACACCGGCAGAGAGCAAGCCCAAGCAAGATCTTGGTTCTAGTCTCTTTGGTGCCGCCCCATCTAGCCAAGGGCAGTCAGCCAACCCCAACCCATTTTCGACAGCATCCTCCCCCAGTCAAGCAAACCCCTTTGCCTCCCTTGCCCCTACATCCAGCCTCGCTGCAAAACCGCCCCAAAAACCATCCTCCCCTCCTCCCACCGAATCCCTCCCCGAAACCTTCGCCGAAAAAGTCCGCCTCTCCTCTCCACCCCCACGAAATCCTGCAAAGGCAGGAGCAGCCGGTCCGCCCCTCCCATGGCCTCCGCAATCCGCGTTCCCAAAGCCCTATCCGCACCACCACCTCGATGCAGAATACGAAACTCTCTCCCGCCCGCCGTCCCCCACCCTACCAACCACAGCGCAGCCCGTCCTAATGGACGAGGACTCCTCCATGACAGCAGGTGCAGAGCCCAAAGACACCTTCGAATCCGCCATGGACAAATCCTTCCTGCGCTTCTCGGCGCGCCTGGGCCATAACCCGGAGCAAGTCCTCCGCTACGAATTCCGGGGTGCACCGCTACTCTACTCCACCACCGACGCGGTGGGGAAACTCTTCTCCAGCCCTTTCCCGTCTGCCAAATCGTCCCATGTCAAAGTATCTACCCGTGGTAGTAGCGCGGGCAGCCCGAACAGGATTCCCCGCTGCGAATACTGTGGGCGCGAACGCGTTTTTGAAGTCCAACTCACGCCGCATGCGATCACGGTGCTTGAGGAGGGGCGGGAGGGTATTGGGCTTGGACCTGAGGATGATACAGGGATGGAGTGGGGGACTGTGATTTTGGGGGTTTGTGCGGCGAACTGTGGGTTGGAGCATGAGGGGGTGTTGGGGTGGAGGGAGGAGTGGGTTGGGGTGCAGTGGGAGGAAAGGGTTGCGGGGAAGTAAATAACTTGGATAGCTGGGGCTGCATGGAACCTCCTAGTCGCTGATTAGTTAAATAGAGCGAAGGGGGTGAATCAGATGGATGTATCTAATTGGCTTAGGTTTTTGAAGTTGTGTTCACTACGGAATACGGAATGGATATAGATTAAACGAATGGGCCGAGATAAAACGTACATGTAGCGGTGAGGGAAAACGTGATGGGCTGGTTTCTTGTCCAGGTAGGTAGCTGCGTGGCATTGTTCACGTATTCTGCAAAGAGAAACAATACACATAGAAGCAGACTGAAGCAGGTTACTATGAACGAGGTGCTTCAATTACTAGGCAGGTATATATATTTCCCAGGGAGTCACCGTCCCCCGTCATAACTCTATTTCCGCAATTTCATTCCGCGTGATTAAGGAGCTTCTCCAGCTCCCGCATAAAGAAAGAGAAAAATAGTACGAAGACATGGTTGGGACGAAATTTTAACGGAAAAAAAAAAAAAAAAAAAAAAAAAAAAAAAAAAAAAAAAGAAAATCAGTCCAAAAGGTTGAAGAGGGCGAGAAGTGAGGAAAATAAAAACACAAAAACAAAGACTGGAAATCAAGCGGGTTGCTCGAAACCCCTCCGAAGTACCCGCCCGAACATCTCTATGCCCACTTTCTCTCCCTTAATCTCCCCTCTGGCCTCATTCTCCTTATTTCTTGGGACTCTGATAACTACACTCTTAACGTCAGAGCCCGCGCTCTTATCAACTTCCCATCCGCAAACATCCACGACGAATTTCTCTAGAGTCTCTAGCCCATGCAGGTCAAGCCATTGAGCTAGAACCTCAGCGCTAATTTCCCGGAAAGCTTTGCCGACCTCAGCAGCAATGCGAACCCGTACCAGCTCTTCAAATCCTGCAACATCGGCGACCAAATCCGCGTATAGGTCATCGGAATTGAGGGTTGACCAGAAGAGGGTGTATTGTGCTGATTCGAGGAGGGTGTTGAGACTGGCCAGCTTTTGGATCGATTCGATGAAATCAGATGTTTGCATAGGGACTGAGGATGATGTCGATGAAGCAAATGGTTGAGTGTATGCTGGGAGGAGGGCAAGAGATAGGGAGAAGGCGGGGGAGGGGAAGACAGTCAACGCTTTGGCTAGGATGTTGGTTGTTGTTTCGGTGTGAAGGAGATGAGGGTTGAATTGATATCTGGGTAAAGGTTCATTGCCCATGATGGGCATTTTCGTGTTAGCTAGAGTCTCATGTTGTAAATTGGTATGCATAGATAAATGACAATTAGGGGGCGGTTGTATTTCAGGGTAATTTTGTATCCCCAGGCCCGTCTACCCGACATTTTATCGGGAAACAGTGTAAGGCTAATAGGAAACGTGAATGTAATAAAAATTACAAATCATCATAATAAGACCGCCAATAAGAAAAAATTGTGCGAGCGACTGATAGCATAACTCTAAAGAGAGTGCATCCAGGTGCAGCATGGGTAATAAGGGATCCCTCAACAGGAATTCCAACAAAGGCACTCACAGTTTCAATAGCGCCAAATTGGCATAGCAGTCAAATGTTCTGTCCTCGCATTGCTGCACGACATATTCTTGGAAGATTGTGGTGGTTTCTGGGTTATATCTGTCCAAGCCGTTCAGGATGACATCGATATGCTGCGGTCTCGTTTTGCACTTGTCGAACGATGCCATTTTGTTCCCTTTCGCGCCCTTTCACTCTACTCCTCTATTTGTGCTTCCTCGTTTGAAATTAGATATGCTGGCTCCGTAGTTCCCCTTTGTTGGTGACTTCTATTATTTCCCACAGATGTGTGCGAGTATTCTCTGGGAAGCGAAAGAAATCAGGAGCAGATGTTCCTAAACTCGGAAACACGGTAAATCTGGCAGATAGGAGCAAATATATTTCTCTCAAAAGAAGAATAGTAGATAAAGCGTCAGTTATAGTTGCGAGTTGGATAAGTCAATGAAGATGTTCCGATGTATGGATAATTTTTCGATTCGATGTTGAGCTGCAAAAAAGTTTGTGGTGGGAAAGACCAAATCACACTGCCTAATGCGGAATGTTTTGCCGGTTGTGATGACTAAGCAGATACTTCTCCAGAGTTATATTACTCCATCCATCCAACATTTATTTGAAGTATTTACATACTGCGTATACCCATTTTATATATGCAGTGATATGCAGTATTTCTGATGTGAAGAATTTCCTAAAATGATACAAGAACCCATGGATTCTTGAAATTTACTACTTCGCTTTCTCCTCAACATCCAACTTGGCCCATATCCTTCTCGAATCTACCGGCCAAACATCTCTCATATTATTCATGTCGCTATTTTTCGCACCCGCAACTAGCGCTTCATATGGATTCATCTCAGCCCTTGCCAATGCACTATCCATCTCGAATTCTGCGAAGCCATACGCGTCTATGATGGCTTTGGAGAAGTCCGACAGAGTTTGGATCGCTTTGTCATAGGCAGATGTGAGACTTTTTTTGTTGACATTATTTTAGGGCATATGGGCCATAGATGTCTTTGTGTGCGGATTGGAGAATCGAAAGGGAGAACTATTATTCTTTCATGTTATTCGTTAAAAGCTACCTGGTTTATTGTTGATTGCTCTTGGATTCTTTGGTCCTTGAGCTGGGGGAGAGAGAGAATTTTACCACTTGTGCTAGTGCTTCCAACTGCCGAACGAAGTCGGTATCACCCGCCTTCTTAATTACATCCCAGAATCCTCGCCAGTAGACGAAATCGCAATGTGCCATGGTGAGCTCGTGAACAGTGAAACTGGTATCTCTACCAGCATCACATCACTGGCTTCCATATGAGCCTTGACTAGGGTCGGTAGCCGGCGCTCGAGCACCCATTGTTGGTTATCTGGCTCAAACCAGTCAGATTCAGAAGACACGTTCAGTTTGCTGCTGCTCTCCGGTCTTCTAAGAATTCTAGGTAAGAGAGGCTGAGAATAGTGTGTCCGGTTTTTCTACGATGAAAACGACGTTAATCACTTATGATAGTATCCTGGCGGGAGGAACGTACGCTTTGTAATGTTTCAGGATGACCCGCGGGGCTTGTTGAGCAATCACATAGTTGTCTCCTTCATACGTGACAGCATTGACAGTGTGAGCGTACATCTGGCCGAAGCCTGACAGTGCACTATACCCGTGACCACCACACGCGATTCTGCAAGTTTCGACGCCGTTCGCAGTTATATCAGTGGAGTAAACTTTCGCGCCCACGGTTTGCAGATGCAGATCTTCAAGTTGCGAGGTGTTCCCCGTTTTGATGACCAGCTCACTGTATTCATCGAAAGCTCGATTGATATCCTGTCCAACAAGCACGAGTGCGGTTCCCTGGTCATTCATTAAAACGTTAGCCGAACCTTGCAACAGATGACAACAGCGGAGAAATTGAGCACATTATTACCTTGGCAAGCAATGGAAGAAGGCGATATTTGACCCTGGCATAGTTGAATACTGTATTCTCCTCCTTCTGACCCTTTATCCAGAATTGCTTACGGAAAGTCGTATAGTGGTACGCTACCGCCACGGCTCTCAACAAATCGTAACCGGTAATTTCAGCCATGCTTGCGCGAACGGTAATCATAGAGCCATATGAATGCTTCGTATTTTTTGGTGGAATATCGGTGCCGTCCCTCAACACTTGGGCATTCCGCGCCAGCATGTGATCTCGAGGGATCCTGACATTGTGGACCTGCATAGCTCCATTATGGACCCCAACCATGCCCTGGAACACCTTGGGACCAAGTTCGTAGATCTCTACTCCCGGCAGCAATTTGTGAGTCTCAAGATCGCGTAACTAGGTGAGAAAGAGGTGGTTGCCATATTCTTTCCCATCAATAATGAGGCGGGCGACAACTATCGAATGGGTGGCCCAGATCCCCGTGGCCCCAATCCAATACTCGGCACTGCTCACCGTTGGTGAATTGATTATGAACTCGTCCGTCGCGCGGTCAAAAGTAGCAGTTGTTTCAAGCCCTCGCACGTTCGAGCCATGACCGAGCTCAGTTTGTGCATATGACCCTAAGATCTCGAATCTTTCCGCCTTCGGGATCCAAACAGCCTTTTGCTCATCCGTCATCTGCCGCTCAAGGTTTGAAATGAAAACTACTTGACCGTCAGAGGCTAAATCAGGGAAATTGATGTTGGTAAAAAGGCAGCCACACTTCTGAACTGGGGTTGGACTGGGAGGAAATAATCCAGCATCCGCACTGCATCGCGAAATTGTGGACCCGTCCATTTTTCCTTATGTTTGAGCACTACCAGCTTGCGAGCTTGAGATACGGCTCTTTTCCAAGCATCCTTTCTAGCCAGTGATGGAATCGTTACAGCAGTCTTGGAGAAGATTGGGTTAGATGTAAGTGCTTTCAGGAGCTGCTTGCGGCCTTCAATTCTCCCTTCCACCCCACAGAAAGACGGAAAATGGAGTGTCGTGGACATCGTTGCTAATATTACGCGACACCATAGCGTTGTATAATTAATTAATTGATCTATCTTCTGCACAAACGGCCAGATGCCATGAGTGCTACTGCGAACTTCCTGTTATACTAAATGCAAAAGGCCGAAATTCAATCGGTCATGGTTGGAGGAAGATCTTCCGACTTGACAAAATGCCGATGCCTGCGTGGTCTGGTCTTGCTTCATTATCAGACTTGATGGCTTCAGAGTTCAAAGTCCAAGGTAACTCGGCTGTTTGTCGCAGTCCGTCCTCGGGAGTGCTCCGCGTGTTGGGGAGGGATGTACGAGCGGATTCGGCCCGGCACTTCGGTAGTTACTTTATCCAAATTAGGAAATTAACTTTGTTATTGCCGAAACCTCGAGCTGTTTTGCCGAACAACATCCCAACCACGTTTCGGATTACAGCAGAAGGAGAGACAGGGGCAGTCAGGATAGCTGCTGGGGAGAGTGAAAATCAGCTGCAATTTATGACAATTCTCCCGTTTACAATATCCCACTTAGCCAAAGAGTTCGGAGAACGGGAAACAACGAAGAAATTCATTGGTTGAGCTAACAGGAGGCCATCCCGATTATCTACCCTAGATACTTGACTAACCCTTCCATGTTGCTTGCTTAAGTTGAACAGAAGGTGTTAGGTTGATATATGCGCCCTTCATATGTGCGACAGTTAGCGCACATGGAGAGCCGTATCACTGTACTATTAGATCCCGAGCAGCTCCAGATGGGACATTAGCATTGGCAAGGGTCCAAGGGGGATACCAAGATCTTGCTCGTCATCGCAGTCCCTTGCAGTCTGGCTGGGGAGCTGTAACTGATTTGAGAAATAAAAAGAAAAAAGAAAAAAGCCAACGTTCAAGTTCACACGCTTTCCCTCAAGGTAAAGGTTTCCTTGACAAATATCATCGACGAATATCATGCCGAGGCCGTGGTAGTTCTGAACGTCTCTGCGAAGATTGCAACAACTTGGCAGATTCGGCAATGTGCCGTCGACCTAAGATGTGGGGTAAACAAACGGTGACCGAACGGGTAACAAGTGCTCCAGCTCAAGGTTAATAATAGTTTCATGAATGACCTCGGGAATTTTCCGCTGCGGGTTGTTCAGGTTATCAAATCGCCTTTCTTGAGCAGTTATGACTTCTCAAACTTGGGACCGGATAGGTGAAGCTGCAAGAAATAATATCGGTCTACCCCCCACATTCCTGCAACCAGAAACCTCAGCTGTAGTAAATAATTACGCCCTTTCGGCAAATTCCCAGTCCTCCATGATAAACGGGATAATTGGACATACAATGACGGACAAAGATGATTTCAGCGCTGCGTTGAATCCAGCGGCGCCAGACGGAGCCACGATCCTTGCAAACGAGAGAGCAAGGTCATCAATTCCAGTCGAGAAGTTCTCACGATATCTTCTGACCTCTAAGTACATCGAGCAACAAAATCGCATTCTCAAGGTCCTTGAGAGAGCGACCCATTGTTTAAAAAGAGAAACCAGGCCAACCTCGCTCGTCCTGACCTCTATAAGCTGGCGTTAGCCAGGGCGAAGCGGATCCGCCAGCTCAAGGACAAGGTCGGATGGGACGATGACGAATATCAGATGGCAGCAACCCTATGCGATGATGTTCTCCCATACTACCTCCACACGGCTATTTTCATAGCAACGGTGTTACAGCAGGGGAGCGCAGCGCAGAAGGTTTACTGGATGCCCAAACTTGAGGCATGGGAGGTTATTGGGGCTTATGCGCAGACTGAGCTGGGGCATGGAAGTAATGTTCGGGGCCTTGAATTGGAGGCTAGATGGGATCCGAGGACAAAGGAGTTTGTGCTTCATAGCCCGCATTTGACTGCGAGTAAGTGGTGGAACGGCACAATGGGCCGCACTGCGAACTATGTCATTGCTGTTGCGCAGCTACTGCTGCCTGTTTCCGGATCCGGTGCAGAGACTAAGTAAAGAGCTATGGACCACACCCTTTCATTGTGCAGATTCGGGATTTGAAGACGCACCTGCCACCCGATAGTATACTTGTGGGTGATATTGGCCCAAAGTATGGGTACAATTCCATGGACAATGGATACTTGCTATTCAATCAACACAGGTGATAATCTTTGTATTGGAGTAGGTTACCATGGTTTTCGATGAGTTAGATGCTATGCTAGCCGGTTATTCGAGAGTAGACCCTGAGACTGGCGAGTATACCAAGCCAAAAAATCCAGAAGTTGTGTACGGATCTTTGACTCACGTACGTTTTGGTACCGAAACCCTCTATATAATTCTGTATTCAATTTCTAACTATAAAGTTTCTAGGTCCGGGCTAAACTTGTCATGGAAGCAAGACTGGCACTCGCCCGCGCCGTGACAGTCGCCGTCAGATATCTATCCATCCGACGCCAGTTCAAGGACAAAGATGCACTTCAAGATACGGCCCCGGAAATAAATGTGCTAGATTATCCTACAGTCCAATTTCGAATACTGCCTCTCCTAGCCACAACATTTGCCCTCCACTACAGCGGAAAAGCTATGGGGAAGCTCTACGAAAGGACTAGAATAGACATCGAAAGGAGCGGCGATTTCGCAGCCTTGGCTGAACTCCACAGTACATCTTCTGGCCTGAAGAGCCTGTGCACAGATATCAGTGCGAACGGCATTGAAACATGTCGACGAGCTATGGGGGGCCATGGCTTCGGAGGAGGGAGCGGTCTCGTCCAGCTTAACAACAACTATCTCACCAAACCAACAGTTGAGGGAGATAATTACATGATCACCCAACAAGTGGCGCGGTATCTGATTAAGAAAGTGCGCGAGCTGGTAGAGAGGCCTAACAGCCAAGCGACAACGCGAACAGAGGAAAGTTTGAGGAGATTTCTCGCCTCGAAGGATACGAAACTTTACCTCAGCGTGCTTACGAGTGATGAGGATATTGTAGAGGCATTTGAATGGAGAGCAGCATATCTCGTAAGTTTTTGACCCAGCTAATCAACTTCGAAGATATAAACTGACCCATGAATCTATCTACAGTCTTTCAAAGCATATGAAAAGCGTGAGATCCAGAAACAAACATGGAACAGTCTCCTCATCGACTTCTACAGACTCAGCCGCGGTATTTTCCCAGCTCTCTAGCTATATCAACAGTAACCCCTTATAGCCCGCCAATCAATCCTCACTAACAAATTACTCTCTCCCCCCCTCCCCGTCACAAAACGCAGCCCACTCCCAATCCATCCTCGTCATAAAGTTCTACAACGCCATCAATAACGACTCCAACAACATCCCGTCCGCACAAACCCGCTCGACCCTCCGTGATCTCTTCCGCCTCTTCGCGCTAAGCACCATGGAGACCGAAGCGCGCGAATTTTACAGCTGCGGCGCCATATCCAACGAGCACCTCGACGCGGTCACGCCGCGTGTCTTCGATCTAATGCAGCGCATACGACCGCATGTTGTCTCCCTCGTGGACGCGTGGATTTTTTGTTGCACAGGTGAGTCTCATTCATTCATATATATATATATGACACATCCAATCCCATCGGGAAATTTTTTTTTTTCTTTTTTTATCTAGAGGAACAGAACCAGGACGCAGCTAACCACTTCATCAATTCCAAAATCCTTGTAGTACGCTAGGCCGGTCCGATGACAAAGTCTACGAAGAACTATTCGAGTTGGCACATCGGCAGAATCCGTTGAATGAGATTATCTTCAATCCGGATTATCGGACTGATGAGTTAGTTCTTGGTAGTGGGGATGCTGGGCAGATTTTATCCAAGCTGTAGAGGGGGAAGTGCGAGTGGGGGCTGTCACTGTAGCTAATAGATACCCCCCCAAAACCAAGCCTGCCTCTCCCTTCTTTTAAGGGACGTGTTTTTTTAGAGCGAGGGGAGGTTTGTGCTTCCAAACCTGCTCATCTTGGAGCTAGATCACTTGGTTCAGGTATTTTATATAGATGTATGTGTATGCAGGCTTTCATTATTTCATTTGGATTGTTATTTACAGTACAATTTTTTATCTGCTCGATTGCCATGCTTCAAACTTCAAACTTGCACCCTCTTGTATTCCAGTAGACGATCTCTAAACCATATCAATGTTCCTATTAAACAAGACAAATGGTTATTTCCTGCAATGCCCTGGTTATCCAGCGGGCTTAGATATCATGCAGGGTTAGGGGGTGGCCACGCCAGGTATATAAAACTGCCAACAATGTGTTAGTTTGTACACACACACACACACACACACACAGGTTCTGGCCGCTGAGTGTTTCTTAGAGTTTTATTGGGCGGGAAGTAAACATACCCTGCGATATGCCTGAAAGTCATTGGCTCATACACAAATCATACGGGCTGGAAAAAGGGTGGAGGTGCTTCCCGGCAGACATTCCATGGAGAACTATGCCAAACCTTGGCGAGCACGATTTGAGTTGTGGCTGAGCAGGCAGGCCCTTGTTCTAGTTATCATCGATGATAAAAGAGAAGCGGTTGGCATAGAATATAATCAGCCGATTTGTGAAACTGGTAAGAGGGAAATTTCGTCCCAAGAAGAAGGGAGTGTAGATAGAAGAACTCCTTGCAAATATAATTAGAACCCAGGCTAGTGTTTAATAAGATGAAGCAATAAGCAATATTGGACAATGTATGCTCACAGTGGCCAGGCCTATTTTTATCACCGGAATTATAAGTGAAAGCTAGCCATCCTCCGCTTCACAGCAGCTGTGGCCTCTTTCGTTCGCAGTCTCCACGGTACCTTCAGGGAAATGTTCGCAAAAGCCGACCGCACCGAATTCTTGCCCGATTCCGACTTTTCCCTAGCTAGTACCCCTCTATGGGGTGGCGGTGACATCTCCCCCAGCACAAAGTCTGCAGCAACACCAGACACGGCGGGAACAGGAACACCTCGGTGTTGCTGCTGAGCTTGGTGTTGTGATGAAAACGCATCCTTAGCTAGAATGGTCGCTCTAGTCGTTCTCCTGCTGATATACGACAGCGTATCCGTTTTGCGCGACGAAGAAGTAGGAACCTCATACAGCTGACGACTAAGACTGCCCTGGTGGCACTTCTCTCCTCCCCGGCGGACGACGGCAGTGTTCAGGTCCTGGCGCTGGGTAATGGCCGCAACCTCATCCATCAGAGCGCGTTGGTAGTCGTTTAACTTCTCTTCGAGCATTGCTATCCTCTTCCGGCTGGTGCCGTATTTCTCGGTGGCTAGACGGGCCTCTGCCTCTGCCGCTTCTGCGTGTCGTATTGCACCGGAGAGTCTGCTGTGCAGAGCGTTGAGTCTCTGCTTGATGAGGGTTATTTGGTCGTACGTCATGATCAGTCCGAGGATGGAGATGAATGCTATAGCTGTTGTTATATCGCTAAAGGTTACGGGGCCCATGGTGAAGGGTAAGCGGATTTTTATGTGCCTGACAGCGTAAGTATAAGACCTGTTGGATATCAGGAGGACGGGGGAGTACAAAACGACAGTCGCAGACAGGAATATCATAAAAGTGTAAAGGGCAAAGAAGACTTGAGTAAGATGCATGCATAGAGTATATGCATTCTGCATAGAATAAAAAGCAAAATCAATAGCAACCAGTTGGGAAAATATACAGGTACCTGGGCATATACCTAAGCACTGGTAGAAACCCAGGTATCCATCGAGGAGGAATGTGGTCTTTGGGCAATTGCATTCCAGCTGGCAGCAACTCAGGAACATCAGTCTTAGGCCATAGTTTCCTCGACTGCAAGGCAAGGAATATCTAATGAGAAGCGGAGAATCGCTGCCATATATATACTATGTAACTTCTTTTGTGTGTTGGGTTGGGATTGGAACAGGTTTGACTTATTATATCTGGTATAAATAGTTAACTAAATAGCCGTTCATCTGTAACTAAATAGTTGTAACAGACCTTGAATTTCCAGAAAACTTTGAAGAAGGAGTGAAAAATATTCTATTTTGCAAAAAGTATAACTATTATTTAATTCCCTTTAATTTATCACCCGCAGATCTTCGGTATTTGATATTTAGTAGTTTACAGTTCATAGCTAGTTAACGTTAGTTACTCTAGTAACTTTTATTATTTAATAAGTTAAGTTAGTTAACTTATATATTTAACTTATGTCATTGGCCGCGCCTGCATCAGAGACAAGCGCTGAATATTTAAGAAACGGGAAGCTGCAACAACATCGACGACAACATCATGAATCAGTAGAGACTTATCCATATATCAGAACCTCAGCGGACCCTTTTCTAATAGCATGTCCCGTCCCCTCTGTGCTAATTGCCACTGCAAAGGGATTGACTATATGCTTCTCTTCTTCTCCACTACTACTAGTTACACCCTAGAATCTACGCTATATTTCTTCTACTATTCTACCAGATAGAGCCAGCGCCAAGTCCGTGATGGTCTATCCCAGCTCATTCCTGACTCCATCCATTCGTTTTCTATAAAGCAGTCAATTAATAATAGTCACGGCGATGTATCTTTCCATGACGAAAGGCGTTCTTTCGCGTGGCGCGGCTTTCGTTTGCTGTTTACTGCTACTACTTGCACCGTTCTCGAGCTGCGAGTATGATGCCCAAGCTCCCTTGCAGGCTGAGCCGCCCAACCCATCGCCGGATCCGGCTATAGCTAAGAGAGTGGCTGTGATTGGTAAGGTTGGCTCTCTATGCTGTGTATATATATAGTTAGAGTGATGTATTGATGTTGGTTTCAGGCGCCGGATCCGCTGGAGCTTCTACAGCCTACTATCTCCGCCATTTCACCGATTTCTTCTCTGTCCCGTTCAACATTACCGTTTACGAGCGGGCCTCCTACGTTGGCGGTCGATCTACCACTGTCAATCTGTTCGATGACCCTGCCCATCCAATTGAGCTAGGAGCATCCATATTTGTCGAAGTGAACAAAAACCTTATTCAAGCCTCGAAGAAATTCGGCCTCAAATTGAGAGATGCAGATTTTGGACAGCCCAAGGAATCCGTTCATAGCTTGGGAGTCTGGGATGGCAAGGAATTCGCTTTTCTCCAAACACGACGAGGCATCTATTGGTGGAATGTACTCAAGCTTCTCTATAGATACGGCTGGGCACCTATGAAGGCGCAGAACCTTATGAAGGTGACAGTGAACAAATTTTTGAAGCTATACAAATTCCCGTACTTCCCCTTTCAGTCCCTCTCCGACGTAGCTATGAGCACTGGGCTTGCTGAGGCAACCTGGACTTCCGGCGCGGAATACTTGAAAGATAATGGCATAGCGGAACAGTTCTCAAGGGAGATTATCCAGGCTAGCACACGAGTCAATTACGGCCAGAATCTAGCCCTAATCCATGGCCTGGAGACGATGGTATGCATGGCGACAGATGGAGCTGTCGCGGTGGAAGGGGGCAATTGGCAAATTTTCCAGTCCATGCTCAACGCGTCAAAGGCAACTGTGAAATTAAACTCGCCTGTAACCAGCATTGAGCTTTCGGACAATAATACCTACACGGTGACCTACCAGGACACAGATGGCGATGATGACGACGGTGGTTTTTCTTTCGAGGAAGAGACATTTGACCATGTTGTCATCGCCAACCCATTTCAATTCTCGAATATCTCTCTATCACCACCACTAAAACGCCCGCTAGATGCCCCGCGCTACGTCGACCTGCACGTCACCCTCTTTGCCTCGCCCTACAAACTCTCACCGGGGTATTTCAAAATGCCCGTTGGCTCTTCAGTCCCCGAAGTTGTTCTCACCACCCTACCCGCGGATGTCAAACTAGGCGCGCGCATTGATGGTGTTGGCCCGGCTCAATTCTGGAGTATCAGCACACTCGAGAAAGTGCAGGTACCAGACACTTCCCGCCACGATGGTATTCCAGGTGGCGCGCATTATGTATACAAGGTCTTCTCTCCGAAGTCGCTGAAGGCAAGTTTCGTGTCTGACATTCTCGGAATCGAAGAAGCACGTGTGCTCGACAACAACAACAGTAGCAGCAATGAAATCAGTTACAGTGCCGACCAGCGCATAGCGGACATCTCCAAGTCGCACATCAGCTGGTACTACGAGAAAGTGTGGCAATCGTACCCGTACCTATACCCGCGGGTGACGTTTGAAGATATAAAAGTGGCACCTAATCTGTGGTATACGAACGGGATGGAGAGTTTTATCTCGACGATGGAGACGAGTTCGTTAGCTGGGATGAATGTTGCTGGGCTGATATTGTCTGAGTGGGTTTCAAAGTTTGAGACCAAGCTGAAGAAGTATGAGGATGGCGTTGGGATTTAGAATTTTTAAGTCTTTGGCCTGGCTCTGCTTTTTCTCATCCTTTTTTTTTTTTTTTTTTCTATTTTACTTTGGGTTCGGGATTATTTTGGGACGCGGGAGAAGGAATGGCACTGGAGTGTTTTCCTTCGGTTTATAATATCTTTCTTTGTTTTGGGGAGAAAGGGTCATGCCTTCTGCTCCTTTTTTTTTGTAGTATGTTGCCTTGCCGCCTTTACCCCATCATGGGTCGTCATCCTTTGGTTAAACTGCGGAGTATTCTTCCTATTATTAGATCTCCGTTTATGGTTCCACTTTCGCACGTTCTTGGCATAAAATTGGGCCAGTTAGCTAAAGAAAAGGCTTGAAAGCATCAATCATTATCGTTAGTTATCGCTAACCACCGTTATCGTGACCGTTGCCTGACCACAAGGACAAAGTCAAGAACAAAGCAAAAAAGCAGCCTGGCAAAAAGCCTCTCAGCCAATATATACAATTATTAATATATAATAATTCCTCCTCCCTCCGCAAAACCGGCAGCAGGGCGGAGATTATATAAGCCAGGCGCCTGACGGTGTCTCGTGCACGGACTGCTTGGCGGCTCCGGACGCTTTTTTGCCTGTTGAACTCCGCCGTCATTAATATGATTATGTAAACGATGGATCCGGGTCCAAACGACGACAACTGCTAATATAACGACGTCCGGAGTACTAACTACGTATATAACCAGCTCCACACAACTAGTAGTTTTACTAGTTACAGAGTCCATACCTACCCTACCGCTCATATCTCCCTTTGGCCCAGCGATGGATCCCCTCCCTCCTCCGCTCTCTACCCTACCCGCCCCATGCTGCTGAGCTGCTAGAGTTAGCTAGATATATACGCGCACAAAGATACCCCAGCTGTTGCTCTGCCTGATCCGCTAAATTCCCAGTCCACGCCCTGTGGCCCGTCTGGGATAAGCAGGCATTTCATCTCGGACCAGCAAAGCATCGCGCGCGCTGTTGGCTCTTTTTCTTTTTCTTTTTCTTTTTCTTTTTCTTTTTCTTTTTCTTTTTCTTTTTCTTTTTCTTTTTTTTTTTTTTTTTTTTTTTTTGGGTGTGTGGTTTAATTTGACGGTTAACACTATTCCTTCTTTTCATTTTTCTTGTTGCTTTTTTGTAAGATACCCGTCGGCTTAAGCTAAGTTACGCTCGCTCTGTTTTTTCTTTTTCTTTTTTTTTTTTTTTTTGTGTGACAACTAGGTAGTTAGCTATCTCTTCTTGTCATTCTTTAAGTTAAACTGGCTGTGCCGTTGTCTCCAGGCTTGGGATCGATCTGCCTAGGTCCATAGGTGCTTTGACCCATCCAGGTAAGCTTTTGTTTGGTCTTCTCCTTTGCTATCCACCTACTCCGTACTCCGTACTCCGTACATAGCTAGCTATCTGCCCTTGTCAGTGAGGCTGTCTCTCTCTCCCTCTCTCCCGAAAACACAAAGGAAAGAGCTCATACTCACTCCGGAATGTTTTTTATTTTTCCCTTTGTTCTTCCCGTTTCCTTCTTGCCAAATTTAGATAGTTGACTCACAAATCTATTAGTGTTAGCCAAAACACCAAAAAAAGGGCCAAACGATGACCGAGCCGCCTTGCGTTTGACGTCACGTTCACCCTTCGCTCACTAGGTCATTTGTTCTCTAAAGCCCCAACCCACTCATCTCTCTCCGATACATGATAACATCCTTCCAACCTTCACTCGCAATCATGCCTCCAGACGATGAATCCAGAACAACAGGGGCGAGTGACAGAGCGAAACCCCATCCCACGTCCACACACCGTCTCTCCTCGAGCCATATACCTGATCGATTAAGAATGGGCGACGATGAACAGGAGGATATGACCGCTCCACCGGGGGGCACGACGGGCCGTGGGGGGAGGTTCCAATACATGCACCAGTCCGTGTTCTCCATGATTGCCGCTGCAAGTTCCAAAAAGGATTTCCACAACCGCTTCGATGAGTCTAGCGATGCAGAAGATGAAGATGCGCATGCGGATGCGGATCGGGCGTTCAAAACCCGATTTCTATCAAACGATGGGATCGATGGTCGTCGTCGTGATGGTAGTGCTTCAACTAGCCGTCTTCCACATCTTGCCAAGCGGGACAAGACATCCATATCTAGCACCGCGGAGGAGCGTGGGCGATCACAGCATCGGAAGAAGCTTTCGGAACATAAATTTTTGAAGTCCCTTGCGAAACTACCGCATAGAAATAATAGAGGAACGGAGCCAGCTTCTGAACCGGAACCGGAACTTGAAGAAGCTTCCGTGACTGGTGGGCTTTCATCGGCAAACCCTGTGCTGCTGGTGGCTGCTACGGAAGCTCCAGTGCTGAGTCGGATGCTTGACGCACAATCTCGCTTTGGTGAATCAGAACCGCCACCCAACTCAACAGAGCGTTCCCGAGAAGATCAACACCAACGAAAAGAATCCTCGCCTGCGTCTCTTCTATCCGCGCGCCTCATGGATATATTCAGATTTGATAGACCAGAGAAGGTTATATCAGAGTATCAATGCTGGCTCCTCCAGAGTGTACTGCTACAAGGGTACATGTATATCACTGAAAGGCACATAAGCTTCTACGCCTACCTTCCGAAAAAGTCTCATACAACCATTAAATCAGGTTACCTGTCAAAACGAGGACGCCAGAACCCAAAGTACAACCGGTACTATTTTGAACTCAAAGGGGATGTATTATCCTACTATCTCGATCGTTCGAACCTGTATTTTCCAAGTGGTCATGTCGATCTTCGATACGGGATATCAGCCAATCTTACGGAGCAGAAGGGCAAGGACAAAGACAAAGAAGTGAAGGATTTCACGGTAACGACAAACACTAGGACATACCAGTTTAGGGCTGATAGTGCGACAAGCGCGAGGGAATGGGTGAAGGCCTTACAGAAGGTTATCTTCAGGTCCCATAACGACGGCGACAGCGTCAAGATCTCCCTACCAATTGAGAATGTTATAGACATAGAGGAGAATCCTGTCATTGATTTCGCGGATACGTTCAAAATTCGTGTTGTTGAAAGTGGTGAAAGTTATGCGATTGACGAGGTATGAACTAACCTCAATGAACAACAGATATATTTCCATCTTGTTGGGTCAGTTTTGTGCTAACGCGCTCGTGTCTATCTATGTAGTATTTCTTTTCGTTTTTTGAATGTGGCAAGGAGGCCATTGAAGTTCTCAAGAAAATGGTCAACAATACCCCAGCACAACAAATTCAGCAAACTATGCTTGCGCCTGATGGTGGCTATACGTCTAGGCGTCGTCGTTCTCACTCGGCGGATGAAATTTCACCTCCATCCACACATGGAACAACCTTGCTTTCGGAGGCCGTGAAAGCCACCTTGCGGCCGCACTCTCCTCTTGGCAGCCGGAATGGGAGTCCCAAGCGAGTCCCAGATCGCCAGAGATCCCCATTTCATAAGTTTAGCCGTAGTAGGCGTCATAGCCGTGAAAGCAGCGGAGCAGGACTTGAACATAGGAGGAGGAGCGGTAGTACCAACAGAGCAAGCGTCGGGGACAATCAAGCCGAAACGTCGCCTGGAGGTAAACTGCTGAATTCGTCGGATTCATTCGTTCAATCGTTAGAACATGCCACGGATTCTTCCGCTATTTTACAGTCAACAAACGGGACAGTAGAGTCCGCAAGTCAGATCTTGAATAGGAGCGATGTTTTCCAGTCACCTACCATTCATAAGCTACGAGATACACTATCTGGAGCGGGGGAAGCCCCCCGGCGCCCTTCTGAGGATACCGCCCGGTTTGCCCCCTCACCTACCGACGTTCTCATACATCCTCCTTCAAGAACACAGACGTCACAATCGCTTACGAAACCGGAATATCAGGATGGTGGCAGCGACTCTGAGCACGACCTTCAACATAGAAGCGTCGCGCACTCTGCGTCATCACCAACCCTTCAAGAACTTATGAAGGTCGGTAGCTACCCATTACAACGTGCGGCTGGGTTGGCAGGATACCTTAAAAGCCGATCGAAGCACATGAGCAACCTTCTTGCAACTGAGTCGATGGGTTACTTTGAAAAGGTGTCTGGCATGTGGATAGGTGGGAAGAGACACTATGGCGAAGGCGAAACCATTCTTCCCGATGACAGGATGGTCGATCCGGAAGACGAGGAACAGGGATGCGAACATGGTGATAGATTCCGCGCGCATTTCGCCCTACCTTCCTCGGAAAAGCTACAAGCTACATACTTTGCGTATCTGCATCGGGTCATCCCGCTTTACGGCAAGTTATACATCAGCAATCGGAAATTTTGTTTTCGAAGTCTTCTTCCCGGTACACGAACCAAGATGATCCTCCCGCTGAGAGATATAGAAAATGTCGAAAAGGAGAAGGGCTTTCGGTTTGGATACCATGGGCTTGTGGTTATTATAAGCGGCCATGAGGAATTGTTCTTTGAATTCAATACTGCGGATGTCCGAGATGACTGTGCTGTCACTCTACATCAAAATCTCGAGTCTATTCGATATCTAGTGGAGTCCGGTTTGTTGGCACAGCAGGACAGAGAGGAGGCTGAAGCTGCGAGGGCAGAGCACCAAATGCTGCAAGAAGCAAGGCTTGAGGGCATGGAGGAGCAGCAAAGCTCTCAGACGCTATCTACATCTACGCCGTTGTCTCCTACAAGCTCACCCATTCTTTTTGACGATCCACGTGTTTCAATTGTCAATTTTAAGCCGCAGGAAGCGTTGCGGATCACCTGTCTGACCATCGGGTCCAGAGGTGATGTCCAGCCATACATTGCGCTCTGCAAGGGCCTAATAGCGGAGGGCCACATACCGAAAATTGCGACTCATAGGGAGTTTGAGCCTTGGATAAGGAAGCATGGCATCGACTTCGCACCGGTTGAAGGAGATCCCGCAGAACTTATGCGAATTTGTGTGGAAAATGGAATGTTCACCTATTCGTTCCTGAAGGAAGCGTCGTCGAAGTTCAGAGGTTGGATTGATGACCTTCTCTCATCTGCATGGGCAAGCTGTCAAAATAGTGATATCCTGATTGAATCCCCCAGCGCTATGGCTGGCATACATATCGCTGAAGCACTGGGAATACCCTACTTCCGCGCGTTCACCATGCCATGGACTAGGACTAGAGCTTACCCTCACGCATTTGCTGTCCCTGAGCATAAGATGGGTGGAGCATACAACTATATTACCTACGTCATGTTTGACAACGTGTTCTGGAAAGCCATTGCGGGTCAAGTGAACCGCTGGCGGAAACGAGAACTGGGCCTTCGCAGCACCAATCTTGACAAGATGCAACCAAACAAGGTTCCTTTCTTATACAATTTCTCACCTTCAGTCGTCCCACCACCCCTTGATTTCTGTGACTGGATTCGTGTAACGGGCTACTGGTTTTTGGACGAAGGCGTCGATTGGCAACCTCCAGCTGAACTCGATAACTTCATAAAACAAGCCCGGGCTGATAAGAAGAAGATCGTGTACATCGGCTTTGGCTCTATCGTCGTATCAGACCCCGCAGCTCTCACCAAGACGGTCGTGGATTCCGTTCTGAGGGCGGATGTGCGATGTATTTTGTCCAAGGGCTGGTCTGATAGGCTTGGAGACCCTTCTAGCGCGAAAGTTGAGATCCCCTTACCGCCTGAGGTTCATCAGATTAAGTCCGCACCGCACGACTGGTTGTTCTCGCACATTGATGCGGCGGCACATCACGGTGGAGCTGGCACGACAGGAGCAAGTCTGCGAGCTGGGATACCGACGATCATCAAGCCGTTCTTTGGGGATCAGTTCTTCTTCGGATCCCGCGTGGAGGATCTTGGGGTTGGGATTTGTATGAAGAGGCTTAACGTGGGCGTGTTCACAAGGGCACTTTGGGAGGCTACGCATAGCGAGCGGATTATCGTTAAGGCGAGGGCGCTTGGGGAGCAGATCCGGAAGGTATGTGAAAAGGAGTAGTCTTTTTATGCACCTCCCCCCCAAATTTTTGAAGCGTTTTGCATACTGACCAATATAAATAGGAGGACGGCGTAGGAAACGCTATCCAGGCTATATACCGCGACCTCGAGTATGCCAAGACTCTCGTCCGACAACGGTCCAATGCAACATCAGCTTCCCAGACAGGGATTGTTCCAGTCGGGATGGAAGAATCTAGTGTTGGGATATCATCTGAGACAGGCCTTGATGCAGATGGCGATGGTGAGGGTGATGCTGATGCTGATGCTGATGCTGATGCGGATGCGGCCATGGAAGACTCGTGGACTTTTGTAGGGGATGAGGCAGGGCCGGAGCTTGCGAGGAAATCTAGAGCCCGTGAGAGAGATTATGACGTTCCCGGTGATATAGTTGCGGCTAGAGTGACTGGCTCTAACGGCAGCGGCGGCAGTGGTTCTCACGACGGTCGAAGCGGGTAGAGAGATAGTTCTGTTATACAGTTCGGACGGTGTTGGCAGGCTGTTTTGGAGTTGTTTTTTGTTTCTTCTTTCTTATTTTTCTGTTTTCTGCTGCACTTCCTCACTACTGACTATTATTAGCGGCCTGCCCACCACCCCTTTCTAGGTTGAAACTGCTCTTTTGCTTCATCATGAGGAACCGGGGGGGAAGTTTTTTTTCTTTTTTCTTTTTTTTTTTTTTTTTCATCTTCTGCTCTTTCTTTCTTTTTTCTTTTTTCTTTTTCTTTTTCTTTCTTTTTTCTTTTCAATGATGAATACCATGATATGCTATGTGTTTTGTGTTTTTGATCTTCAAGTTTTGTTTGTTTTGGGCATAACGAAATGCGAAACGATTTTTTTATTATTAGGGTTGCCTTCTTGTTTTCTTTCCCCCTTGATCCTTTTTGAGGAGGGATGAATGAATATAGAGATGGATAGGGAGTGGCGTATGTGGGCTCCTTTTATTACTATTCGTTTTCTTATATAAGGCCCACACTACCTGAACCAGTTAATTATATACATTACTCTACTCTGTTCTCATACTATGTCTCGTCTCCTTATAATGCTTATGCCACAACTACATATTCCTTCAGGTTATTCATCTCTACAGACGTACTCTGCTCAGGAACGGGCGGAGTTAAAAGAAATAGGGAGTAAACATAGGTACCGTTTACGTATCCAAATCTCACCTTCACTCCCCTGCTTCCCCCTTACTTGCCATGGAGTATCACCGTAAGTAGCTTTTCACCTGAAAATACCAAAGGCAAAAATATAGGAGGGAAAAAAAAAAAATGAATTAGTTCCCGAGTTTTATCCTCTTAATACTTTTTTCCCTTCTTCTCTTTTAACCGCCCGGCCCCGTCTTCCCTTCACCATCATCACCCTTCCCATCCTTCTCCTTCCGTTTCTGAACCACGTCCCAATTGTAAACTCTAGCCGTGGCGACTTCGAGAGTCTGCGTAAAGATATGGGGAAATGGGAAACATGTTAGTAACTAGCATCTCATATAGTAGTAGTATTAAGGCGAATCCGAGGGTTTAGGCCCTCTTTTCCAAAGAGCCAAGCTAGAATGATAAGACCTGAGGCAGGGCGGGGAGGCGGTGGGGCGAATGCAAGATAATACTAAATGCACATATATAGAAGAGAAAAGGAAGACCAGCGAGCGACACATACCGTAATCTGTTCCCTTAAAAACTCCAAATCCTCCTCGCAGTTGGCGAGACTGGCCTCTGCGGCGCGGAGCTTTTCCGTCAGGAGCTCCGCGGCTTCGTCGATGGGGTAGGCGAGCATGACGTTTGCGCCGAGCCAGAGGAAGACCTCGTCTGTGTCCTTTGGTTGGATTGTGGCGCGGGAGTAGAGGGTGTCGTTGAGTTCGAAGGTGGTTTCGAGAGGGGTGTCGGCGCCGGCCTAGTGGGGTGTGGAGGAGCGAGACAGTGAGTGAGTGATGGGTAGCTTTTATGGAGTGTGTGACTTGGGAGTTTATTAGGGAGGGAGGGGGGGAGAGATGAGATGAGTTTTTTCCTCCAGAATCAATAGATCCATCCCCCCTTTGTCCATGGAACCGCATCTAGAGCACCTTTTCGGGGCTGGCTCCTCCACGGATAACAAATAAATGAATAATAAATGCCATACCTTCCTCCTATCCCGTAGGAGCGTCACCGTCTCCAGCGTCTTCTTGATATCAGGAATCTTATCCCTCAGGCCCTGACCGCGCCGTTGCGTATTCAGCTCCATGAACTGGTATTTGGATATCATCTCCTGGAACGAGCGTAGCGTGGGCTCGACATCTGCGCGCGAAGAGACATAGTCTGCAACATTATCGACGAATGGTGCGACGGGGATGCCGCGCGGATTGGTTGTCGACGAGTCGACGGCGGGTTTTCTGCAATTTTTGCAAAACAGGGCGGTGGTTAGTATGGGGGAGGAAAATAGTAGTTATGGAGAATGTGGGGAGGGGGGGGGGGAGGGAGCAAAAATAATGAACGTACTTCTCCGCCCGGATGGTGGCCGCCATGATGTAGCGGCGGTGGCCCTTATTAAAGGGAGCAGGCCCTCTCCCGTCGAGCTATTTAAGAGGGAGGGATTGCGAGAAAGGTGAAAGGTAGCTGTTAGAGCGTTGAGAGACAGACGGTGGTGGGCGTGGAGCAGATGTTTATATTAATAGCAGTAACTACGGAGTAAATATTTAAAAAAGAGTATAAATAAATATTTGAAGAATGCTGGCGTTGGTTGTGGTTGATCGCCGAAAAAAACCACAAGGGAATGACATGACGTCTTGAGGGGGAGGAGGAGGAGGATGGATTGGAACAACTCCGCCAACTTTTCACACCTTCACCACATTCGCAACACAGCGCCGGGATATTTATTTAGATACAACAACCCCCCATCCATGAATCATCCACATATTTACGCCTATACGAAGGAATGATTGCCCAACATGGTCCTCCTCCTCATCACCCCAGCCATAGCCTCCGCCCTCGACAGCCTGCCTGCGTCAACCCGCGACGAGCTCTGTCTGCCAACTCCGCCCGCCAGCCCTGCAATCTCACACTCCCAGCTCATCGCTCTCTCCAGACACCTTATATCCAATACACCATCTGCAGATAAATCCAGGGATCCATCCAATGGATCTGCTGATAGACCTGAGAGCTTCACGCTCAACTCGCTTCTCAAGGGCACCAAAGTCTTTGTTCCCCCTCCTCCACCCAAACCGGAACCTGTTCGTTTCTCCTCCCTACTCTACTTACACACTATGCATACACGTTTCCTTATTATATATATATACGTCTATCATCATCATTATCAGTCTAACATATGCACAGACGCCCGAATACCTCGCCCTAAAAGCCTCCCTCCTCGCCGCAGAGGAAGCAAAAAAGTACAACGCCTTCCTAAAACCTACCTCCGCATCTGCATCCCCATCACGGATATGGGGACTCAACGACCACACACCACCAAACATATATACCCATCCAAAAGCCAACCGCGACAGCAACGACAACGCCCTCGACGACCTCGACGACCTTGACGACCCCCTCACCCCCTCCCTAGTCCTCAACATCCTCATCTCCATCCTCTTCACCGGCTTCGCAAGCTACTGGGCCCTCTCCAACTTCCGCATCCCGACCTTCTTCACGTTCACATCGGCCTCGTCGCCCTCGTACCCCGGCGCCGTCTCCTCGCAGCCTGCGCGTGTGTTTATCTCAATGCTCGTTGCCGTGCTCGTGGGCGTGGCGGAGGTGGGTGTGTATGTGCTGTATTTGAAGAAGGTGGAGTTGGCGAGGGGGAGGGAACGGGCGATTGTTGAGAGGAAGGTTGTCATTGGGGAGGTTGGTGGTGGGGATGGGGATGGGAAAGCTGGTGATGAAGGGGTGGTTAGGATTGGTGATGGGGAGGGAAAGAAAGAGGAGATTTGGGGGAGAGGGATTAATGGTGGGGCTAGAAGGAGGGTTAAGGAGCGGTGGAAAGGGAGGGATGGTGATGATGAGTGTGAATAAGAGATGTAAAATAGGTATGTTTGTTTGTTATAGTTTCTGCTATGCCCTCCTTACTGCGGATGGAGGACTTGATTTGCTGACGTTTATGTGTAGGTTTTCACTCCCCCTTTCCATTGATAGATCGCCTTCTTTGATTTTTTTTATAATATATATATTATATATTTTGTTTATCCATTTATTCTCATTTTTCCCATTTACTCTTCCAATTGCCTTTAACTAGGTATCACGCTTGCTAAAACAAAGCAGATACCACACAACCCGTATCCGACGGCGACACCGCCCAAACAGAAGGAGAATTATCTTCTAAACATCAAAAATATATAATGGTATATATGCATGCACCATGCTAAAAAAAAAAAAAAAAAAAAAAAAAAAAAAAAAAAAAAAAAAAGGAAATCAAACAGGAGAAAGAAGAGATGAAAGAATCATGTAACATATGTCGTCAAGTCATTTCCTGAAAAGAAAATCTCCCTTCCCAACCCCCTACACCGCTCTAGGCTCCAACAACAGTTTCCCCACAGGCTTCGTCTCCACAAACCCACCATCGCGCGTATACACTCTTTGGCCCCTCAGCCATGTCTCGCGCACGACACCCTTCAGCTTCCTCCCCTGATACGGCGAGCACTTATTGCGGAACAGCATCGTATCAGGCTGCACCACCCACTCCCCCGTCTCGTCAAAGACACAAACATCCCCGTCGTATCCGACGGAAAGATCTCCCTTTTGCGACGCCAGCCCAACCTGCTTGGCCGTATTGGCGCAGCACCACTGGACGATGTCTTCGAGGGCAGACGTTGTGGATGAGGTCGACGTCGGCGTGTCTGTTGACGTGCTGTCGGCTGCGGAACGGCGGCGTTGGAGCTCGGTCCAGAGGATAGGGAGGCCCAGGCCGACGGAGGAGATGCCGCCCCAGGCTTTGAGGAAGTTTCCTTCCTCTTCGTCTTGAGAGGTGGTGTCGTTGGTTTTGGCGGCATTATTATTCTCGTTATTATTGACAGCGCAGCCACCAGGGATATGCGCTGGCAGGATCTTCAGCGCCGGAGTGCAGGGCGAATGGTCCGAGACAACGGTTTTAATCACGCCCTGGGCATCGGCATGCTTTGCCAGCTCTTCCCACAGCGCGTCCTGGTTCACCTGGCTGCGAATTGGCGGGCAGCATTTGTGGCGCGTGTCGCCGTCGCTAACTTCCTCGGCCACCAAGGAGAGGTAGTGGAAGCATGTTTCTGCTGTGATGTTGATTCCTTGGCTGCGCGCGGCTTTCAATAAGGGGATGGCTTCCATGGCGGAGAGATGGACGATGTGCAAAGGGAGCTTGGGGGCTAAGGGTGCCAGAGAGAGGATTGTGGATATTGCGGCTGTTTCGAAGGTAGAGGGTCGGGTGTTTAGGAAGGTGGAGTATGATGTTGGAGCTCCTGAGGGAGACGGGAGGTTTGCCGGAGATGTGTCGCCATTGGCGTCGGGGATCATTTCGGCATGGAACATGAACGTCGTTGGCAGATCGGCTAGTTCGAGCATGGCGGCTTTGATATCCGCTGGCGATACAGCGGGGAATTCATCGACCTAGGAGGAGTGGTTAGGAATATATGTATATATACATATCTGAAAGGATTGTATATATCACTTATATCCAGAGGTATGTTTGAGTTAGGGAAAGCAAAAGGAAAAGAGGTACATACCCCACTATCAATCAAAAAGCCTTTAAATCCCTTCACCCCGGCTTCTACCAACCCTTTCAACTCCTGTACATTCCCAGGGACAACGCCGCCATAAAAGCCCACATCAACCCAACATTTCCCCGCCGCAGCGGCGATCTTCTCGCGCAGCCCGTCAACCGTCGTCGTGGGTGGTATAGCATTCAACGGCATGTCAATGACGGTAGTCACGCCGCCAAACGCCGCAGCACGCGTCCCTGTCTCGAAGCCTTCCCATTCGGTCCGGCCCGGTTCGTTCAGGTGCACGTGCGCATCCACCAGGCCTGGCAGGAGGATATGGGGGGAGTAGTCTGTGTATTGGGTTCCTGGGGGGAAGGCCGTGGGTGGGAGGACGGAGTGGAAGACTGAGGTTACCTTGCCTGTGGTGAGGGAGATGACGATTGTGGCAGCGGTGAGGCGGCCGGAGATTATAGCGCGGGTGGAGGCTAGGACGGTTAGGGAGGGGGCTAGGGGTGTTCCGGTTCCGGTTTCGGTTGGGGAGGTGGAGGCGGGAGTGGAGGCGGGAGTGGAGGCGGGAGTGGAAGCGGTGGTGCTTGTGGGAGAGTGTGTGAGATGAGGGTCCATGGCTGTGGATTTTCGCGCGGTGGGGCCCCCGTTATTTTGTTGTGTTTGGGAGCGTTTTCTAGTACTTAACTATGATGATGGTAGGTTACGGTGGGGGTTTTGCTTGTCTAAAATGAATATTTTTGACTTTTTGGTTTATTCGGTACAAACTTGGGGTGGAAACAAGACAAGAAATTGACAGGATGCCAGAGAGCGGGCAGCAGATGACACCAGAGGAAAGAAGAGGGGAGAGCCGGTCCAGTCCAGTCGTGTACCGCGCACCACACCACACCAACCAACAGCAAAGACAGAGAGAAAAGGGGAAATAGAGAGAGAGAGGGAGAGGGAGGGAGGAAAAGAAAGAAAGGAAGAAAGGAGAGAAAGTTTCGGTGGATGACAGAGGAGAAAAAGGGAGAGAGAAGAAAAGCAGGACTTTTCTTCGTATTTCTCAGCGGTATTTAGCTAGAGGCTGAAGAGGGGGGAAATCAGCAACAAGCAGCAGGGACAAGCAACTAAGATAGGGAACAAAACCGCTGCTGGGGAGTATTGTTTATTATAGGAGAACCAGCGAGTGGCGATGAGGGGGATTGAAACTTTCTTCTCTAGCCCGTGGATAGGGGAAAACAGAGGGGGGCGAAAAGGGACAGAAAGCTTATGAACATGAGAGGAAAAACAGCAGAAATTATTCTGGGGGGAGGACGTCAGCACCCCAACAATGTCCAGCCGAGGGAAAACCATTCATTAGTATTCATTTACTCTTATTATGCATCGGAGCTCGCCGCACTGAAAGAATAAAAATAGTTCAGCCCAGATTTTTGGTCCCTTTTTCAAAAAATCGGCACTTTTTGTATATAGGGTTAGTTTGGTTTTTTTTTTTTTTCCCAAAGTTAGCTCGGCGGTGGAGCAAAGATCACGCATGGACAGTTTCAATCGAGTAATGGTCGAGTAATTGATAGGGTTAATTAAGGTTACAAAGGAAGCGCAATTGGCAGCGTCTTACTCGGCGCTATTCGAGCTGGACGATGCAGCAGCAAGCGGGATTGGACGCTGGGGGAAATGCTCGGCGCCGAGTTGCGGCTGTGGCGTGTGGTCTGGATGCATCGAAGGGGAAACTGATCTGGGATGTGCGGTTAGCAGTGGCAGATGCGTGGCGATTATTCGCACTGCAATACCGCGCTCCCTTGTCTCCCAGCTGGAAATCATTCGTTTTGTCACCACACTCATCAAGCCACGCGTGCAAATTTTATCGAACACGCACCACAAAGCGTCACGTGGGCTTTATTAGACTAGGAGGAAGCTCGACGCCATCAAACCGACCGTTAATGACAAGCCTGCTTGGAAGGCTAATACTGTTATTGATCTTGTGATACCCTGTGGTTTGCGATCAAATGTTCCAAGGGCAAATCGCCCCAATGCTTGGCGATATATGCAGAAAACGCGGCTGTCCCTAGGCGCAAAAGGTGCAGAAGACCAATTTCTCTCTCTTGGACACATGAACGAGGACGAGGGCGAAGAAAGCCGCCTCTCAAACGCGCCGAGTTTGACTCATTTCCCCGCCATCAGTTATTATGACATAATAAATGGGCAGGACTTGATAGTAATGAGGTTGGAGATTGTTGTTTGAAGCGGGTCATCGTCAAGAAACTGACATGAAGTGCTAAGCCTATCTATCACCTGAGGCCAACTGTTGCATTGGGATTGGGGCTTGGGAATCTCTCCTTTGGCGAGCCTCTGATGTTCCCTCGTTCTTGACTCTTTTTGACCAAACCAGGTGATTGATGGAGCGCTCTTGTTCGCTGTTGTCCTGCTCTCAGGGTTAGGGCTTTCGGGGTTTTATTCACTCCGCCCACGTGGTTATCATTCTCAGCACTGGATTCCTACATCCACAAGACGCGAAGCGTCGCCTGAGTCCAAGCAGATGAAAAGGGTTTCCTTTTCTTTCGTTCCGCAGCATGAGTAAGAAGTTTCCTATGCCGACCCTCTCCGCGGGTGCGAGAGTAGGAGGTACAGGTATGTACATGTACATTCCATAGGTTCGAGAATATCTCTGAAAACCTGTTCTGCCAGGATCAGCACCAGACTTCTAGGCTCTTTTATATTGATTTGCCACAGGGGGTACCTGCAACCTCATATCCATGTGGTGGTAACTTAACTGTCTCAGGATGGGGTCATGTGCATCACGTCTACACCTCATTCCATGTAGTGGGCTAAACTGGCTGTTGAGTTTGATGTTTCTTGACTGTTAAGCGTTATCAATATAGGTAGGAAGAGTCCTCTAAAGAGCTATCTATCTATACGATGTTTCTTTATTCTCGTCCAATCCTTCCTCGAAATATTTGATGGAGCGTAAAAGCGATACGTATCTTACCGTATTTTACCGCCTGCAGCTGTCAATCCGGCGTTTTCGCTTAACTAGTCATAATATACTCGGAAATACAAATATCCGACCTCCTCCTCACCTCCTCAACTCACTCTTCTGTTCTGCCGTCACTCACCGCCATCACACTTACTCTCACCAACCAAAGTGCAAGTCACGTGCCACAAACCTCTGTTTACTCACAACTTGGTGATTGTTTCTGGTCTACAGTCCATTCTGCTATTTTCTTTTATTACAGATAACTCGATACTGATACATCGTATCCCCGCTTTCTGCTCTTGATTTCACCATTATCTACTTTTCCCCGTTGTTCTTTCTTTACGATTTACAAAATGAAACGCGACCTCACTGCGGCGGCCTTCTCCGAGCCCGAAGAGGAAACCTTAGCGAGACTTGGCTATCACGTGGACTTCGATGGTAAGTTTATCTTAACGGATAAAGATATCTATATCTCCTCCCTCTGCAAGCTGTCACCAACCTCACCTCTTCAACAACTGGGAACTTGCACTGCTTTGTCCGGATAATCCCTTCAGCCATCTGACACACATACTCACTCTTCTCCTAGACCAGGTCCTCCCGGGATGGGCTTTCTCGGCTCCTGTCGCTGGTTTGGAACGGGACAATCCTTTCCCTGATGATTTGCTCCCCAACATTGACCCTCGGCTCCATGCCAGCGTCGGCAATTCTCAGCTGGAGCAGGAGTCGCTTTTCATTGAGGACAATGATAGTCGTAATGGCAATGACAATGACAATGACAATAACAATGGTGAACATCATGATGACGCTACTACCCATTGGGTTGATCCCGATAATGGCTTCTACCGAGACAGTAAGCAAATGAAATTTGCACTACTTTTGCATTGTGGTTCCAATCATTACTTGCGCTTTCTTCCGTGCATTTTCTGGCACATCCATCTTGTTCCTTGTTCTCTTTGTTCGGAGCTGTGGATATACCCTTTTGTTATGTTTATCTTGCCTTTGTTCTTTTTCCACACGGAATGTTGCCCTACGGCACTATCCGTTCCCGGAGTGGTAGTACTTTTTTTCGCGCAGGTGGACTCGGCTTTTGCCCTCTTCGTTTCTCTGTGGGCTATATAAACTCCCTCCTGCCCTCTCTTCTCAAGAGACAGACAGACAGACAAAAACTGAACTTCTCTTGTCTTCTCCCCTCCCCCTCCGATGCAGTCTACATCGAAAGAGGGTAAGGGAAGGGGGCGGGGATGGTTTGTTGTCCTTCTTGTTTAAAATGGTTCACTACATGTATCTATATATATATACTGCCTTCCCTTTCTTCTGCATATATATATACACTCTGCGGCACGTCCATTGACACGTGTACCTCCCTTCCAGGATTTCCCGAGGAGACTCTGTTCGTCCACTCTGTGGAGCAAGTTCCAGAAGAAGCTCTGGCAGGATACCACGATATGCCTGAACCACAACGACAAGTACAACATAACCAATATGCCGCTATCCCCACCGCCAATCCCCAGCAGTCAAAAAGGGCAAAGAAGCCACGGAAGCCAAAGGACAAGCCTGAAAAGACTGGTAGACATTCAGCTGCCGAGATATCTGCCGTCGAAGATTTCAAGTCCCAGTTCTGCCAGTCCAACAACATGTCAGGTGAGGACTTTGGCCGCATGGTCCAGCACTGCGAGACCGACCGTGCCAGCTTCCCGTGTCCAGAATCCATCATGACAAGGACCGAATTCTGGAACCATTTGTACGCCCTCATGCCTGGTCGCAAACACAAAGACGTGCACCGCTATATGCGCTCGCACTACGTGGTCACCTCTCAGAAGCCGCGCCAATGGACCAGGGAACAAGACGACGAGCTGGCCGCCTTGCATGCAGAACACGGGTCCGATTTCGCCAAGATCGCCCGGATCTTGGGCCGGGCCCGAGACGACGTCAACACGCGCTTTCGGAAACATGTACAGCATCGTGACAACCAGAATCATGGGTTATGGACTGATGAAGAGTGCGTGAATCTCGAAAATGCTGTGAGGCAATGGCGGAAGGCTCAGCCCACCGAGGACGACGACACCACCGCCGGTGGTTCGTTGCCAGGGGATATATATCAGATCGACCCGCACGATATCCTATGGACTCGGGTGAGCGAGCTCATGGGGCATACCAGGACTAGGGAGCAATGCGGTGCAAAGTGGAGGGCCATGCGGAGAAAATGGAGAGAAAGGGGGCACGACACAAGCCCAAAGTGAAATATATTTGTGGGCAGTGTTTTTCTTACCCCTTCACTCTACTTTTTTCCGGAGTTCCGTCTTGGATGCCTGATTCAATGGACTCCTTGACGAGGGGACCGATGGAGCCTCCAACGCAGCACCCGACGCAGTATACGACAGCAGAGAATCCAACAGAGTATCCAACAGAGTCTGGGATGTTCATCTCTTGGCTGGGGTTTTGTGGATGTTCTTCATCCCAGCTAGGCGGCTCGCTGGGCGTTGAATCACAATTGATACGCAGCTGAGAATATCCAGACGGGGAGAATCCACCTCCACCAGTGCCCCGGTATGGAAATAGTGTGAGGTGAACTTCCAGTCCATGGTCATCCACGGGAGGCATGATGAGGCTGGTTCAATTAGTTGTTGCTTTTTGTATCGGGCAAATGTGAGCCACTCACCCCCGCCTCACCTCCTCGCCCGAAAAAAGCCCAGGAGTTAACACAGACTGTTTATCGTGCGCCCTGTTATTGTTAGGGCAGTCTCAAATTTTGGGGATATGGGCTCCATCTGAGCAACGTTAGACGGTCAGCCCGCCAAGTTGGGCACGTATATTGAGTTGGGGGGCTCCCACTGTTCCCTGACTGAACTCCTTCCTGCCAGCGAGATTTTCCTTGGTGCCTTGCTCTACCCCCCAAGCTCCGAGGAGATTGATTTTTTTAGTCCTGTTGGGCACAGTCCCGGTTCTTCATAAATGATTGACCCATAAGATCATTCACCCGCCAGCCGGGCAAACAGAACAGGCGAGCCATCCGCATGGTGCTGCGATAGTCCCCGACTACTGCCAAAGACAGGGCCCCAGCCCTGGCAAGTTGGATTGCCTTTCGTAGAAGTTGCATTCCATGCATGCTCAGGAGAACCTACGGCCCCAGGGTTAAAAAAACGCGCAAGCTGTGCTTTGTGAAGGGATTGAATAAAACGCCATATGGGCAACATCCCCTTGCTGTTTGCTAGTGCTAAAGTGCCTTTTATTCATATCTCATCAAGCCGAATAAAAATTCTATCATGATCGAGGATGTGTTCAATAGATTGCTGGCTGGCAGGACCTGCACATCTAATATCTATTCAAGGACGCCATCTAACACCAACTTACTCCTTATTTATTATTTTCCCTCACCAATATTTGCCCTCTTCGCCGAAAATCTCCCTGGTGTTCGTTGATTCTGTTCTCCAGGCATGTACTTTACACATTTCAATGGTTACTTGCAAATTTGGGGTGGTGGGGGGGAGCGGGGAGACAGGCCAGTCGCGGTCTCGTCGGACCGCAATGTATGTATGTACGATAGCAGGAAATAAAAGAAAGTCTTTCAGAAAACAGATCAGACAGAATAGATACCCAACCGAGCCTTCTAGCGTCTTTTGAAAATGATTTTTTTACGATTTTACATGGCAAAACAAAATATTATATAGACCAGAGTCCAACGTTCTAAGAACTCAAGTAAGCCTCTAACACATAAGGGCATCTTACAGCTCATCCTTCCTGGTCCCCTTTTCACTCTTCCCCTTCCCATCGTCCCCACCATCATCCCGAGGCACGTTCTGATCCCCACCTTTTGTTCCTCCCTTAGCCTCCCTCTCTTCCTCCAACACCCTCCGCTGCACAGCCGCAATCTCCTCATCATAAACCGTCCACTCAGGCACCTGCCTCCTAGCCCTCTCCAATTTGGGCTCCTTCGTCAACGGATTATTACACAGATCAATCGTCTTCGCCGTCGCCAACGACTCATCGGAACACCACGTCTCACACCACAGCCAATCCTGCGGTAGACTCTTGATCGGCAACACCTGCTGCATATTATTCGGCAGGTCCTGGTCTAGATTGCTCAGACTGGCCGGATCGGCGGAGAGGGTATGATACTGCCCGCGCAACTTGTCGCCAGCAGCAATGGCCCGGAACCGGTTCAGATCGACCACGTACAGCGCGGAGATGTGGTAGGGGAGGCCGCGGAGGAATTTCTCCCAGTACCCTTGCTTCCAGAAGCGGAAGCCCTCCATGGACGTGCGCGAGTCGCACATTGGCGTGAAGCCGTATGGCGCCCCTTCTAGATCTAGCGTGACGAGCTCATACATGTCCGCGCGGACAATTTGGTCCGCGTCGACGAAGATGACCTTGTCCAGCGAGAGCGGGAAGAGGACGTCTAAGAAGAGAATCTTATAACCCCAGATGATGCGTTGTTTTTCTGTCTGTGCGCGCAGCCAGTGCGGCCATTTGTAGGTGACCATTTCGTAGGAGAAGCCATATTCCGCGGCGAGGTGGGGGAGGAAAGATTTAAACGATGGGGATAGGAATTGTTCGATGAACCAGAATTTCACGCTATGTTTTGTATGCTTCATGACGGAGACCATCATGATGTTGAGCATGCGTTCGTATAGATGGCCGCTGGCGACAGAGAAAATGTTTATGTCTGCGTGTGTTTCTTGGGCGGGGCCAGTAATGCTGTGCAAGATGTTGGAGGCGAAGTTTAAGCCCTTTGAAAGGAAGTGCTTTGCGGCGGAGGCTGGTTTGTGATCCGCATCGAGGACGTCATCTCTTTCATGACCAGGTTTTCGAGAGAGGCGCGGGAAGAGTGTCTTCCCTTGGAAGGAAAGAAGGGCTACATCGTTGTTCTCATCGCCGGGTGTAGGTATATAGCCATGTCCACCAACGCTGTCAATGCGGAAGATGCGTTCGCTCTGGCCCGGTTTTAATGTTATCTTCCAGCATCCTGGCCGTGCTTTGAATTGGAAATAGCCCAGGTTGGCCATGACGATGGTATCTGCGAAGTGGGGATTTTTCTCTGTTCCAAGGAGCAGTTGGACTCCCTTTGGAGGTACGCCTCGAGTAACATCTCGCGAGTGGCCTTCGATTAAAATATGTTCTAACTCATAAATAACATCAACGTTGGTGCCTTCTTTGAGTGTGCTCAGTTTGAGGTTGTCGAGGTCGTGTATCGATTCCTTGGGAGCTACAAGCCATGAAGGAGGTACGTCCATCCCTAAATTGAGTAGTGCTTCACCAGGGATTCCACGGAAGATAGCCTGCGGCTTCGCTATGGAGCCATCTGCATTGAAGGATGGGGCTGATTCGAGGACTTGTCGATAAAATCTTTTAATAGGCAATTCTTTTATTTCCTCCCGGGGATTGAGGAACAGCTTCAAACTGACGCCATTTAGTTCTGATAATACTTTCAGAATAGGAACCCAGCGTTGAGCAATCTCCGTCGTTGGATCGATTGCCGCAACGATATGGATAGACGGGTCATCAGAATTGGAGACAGAGATAGCAGAGTGAACGCCATTCCATTTCTCGAAAATATCAGTGCGCGCAGTTTGGCCGGAGCCATATATTCCTTCTGGGACGTTGGAGGTTGCTGACAGCGAAGCTAGGGCCTGTAGCCTTGCGAGGCCCAGGGGATCAGAAATGTTGGCTTCCAAGCCTAGCTCAAAGGCCGCCCTTGAAAGTACTCCGACTCGCTTTGACTGCTCGTACATATGCAGTTGTTCCAGGTCTTGAATATCCAAGGTGGTTGATGAGGGCATCGGGCCAATCACCCTGCTATTTACCACCATTCCAATTTCGCTAGTTCCAAATCCAATTTCTTTCACCAGCGGCTGAACAGTCTTCCAATAAGCGGATGCAGCTGCAGAATCTGAGGGCTCTTCGTTTTCAGAACCAAGAGCTGCAGTGATAACGGTTGGGTCAAGGTCACGGCCATTCCGGATGCTGTAAAGTCTTGTCGACAGGGCTTGGGAAGTCGATGAGCTCTCGCCGTTATGCAGCAGTAAAATCTCAACTCCAGGATGTTTTTTGTGAAGCTCCAGCAGGTAAGTAAGCTGTTTAGCTCCAGCGTCGCTGTCCAGGTCAGCTACCAAAATGATGCTACTCCAATCCAACAGCGGATGTTCCGATTCAGCAGCAGCGGGGATTCGCAGGGTGGTGTCAAAAATATCCTTATGATTCATATACATTTCGTCGAGGTCGACGGTTAGAATTTCAGTAGGGTTCTCGGGGATAAGCAAGGGGTTTCGACCTTGCAACGCTCCTTGGAGGAAATGAGAAGGAACCCAAACATCCTCATCAATCGTGCCTTCGTAAACACGTCGTTGAATATCCTCCAAATCCTTAGAGAGGCTTGCGAGCATATATTGAAGGAAACTTTCGTCGCGCATGAAGGCAACACCGTTCACGAAAAATGGTAGTACTTCTCCTTTAACGGCCAGCCGTTCGAGGTAAGACTTGGTGTTGGAGAGTATCGGGTCGTAATTGTCCGATTCTAAAGCATCTTCGAAAGCAAGGGGCGTACGGTCTTCTCGCAATTTACGGTTTTCCAATGCAGATGTGAAACTAGCGCGATCCGGAGAGGCCACTTTGTCTGCGGACAATGACTATGCGTAGAATATTAATTTTACGAACGAATACATACACTCGGGTAATGCGGAAACTTACAGCTTGCAAGTAACTGATCAAAGCGCCAATTCCGTAGGCATCAAGTAGGTGATGAGCAATTTTGGCCTGTCCTAGAGTATTCTTATTGTGTACTAAGGGCACAATACCAAACCTGATTGGTACCATTCTCTTAACGAGTATTAGAAGAGTCTCAGCAACAATTCTAACATCCTCTGGGGAGGTCAAATCGACAGGAATGACGACATTGTGTATATCCCGGCGAACCGGGGGGAGCTGGCCTTGGAGCGTGATTCTGAGTAGCTACAAATGATAAAGTTAGATTTCTATCCACAGCAGGTTTCTAAATAGCTTAGAAAGAGAATGGGCAAATGGGGATTTCAAGTCTACTCACCGATTTAAGATCGCTCGGCCAGCCATTGTACCGATGGTCTTTTTCAAGGTCATTTAACCAAATAATTACACCACCACCTTCAAACTCATCCCTATAATCATATCTCAGGGGATCGCCGGCTGCATGGCTTTTAGCAAGAACTGGGTTGGACAAAAGATTCACACCCTGTTGCCCAGATAGACCAAATTTCCGAAAACCATTGATTAACTTCCCTTCACGTCTGAAATGATTGAGCAGCGAGAATGCATCAATGGTTCGAGGGTCTATTTGCAGACCGTTGACCCACATAACGTTGTGCCCTTCAGGTAACAGGGCAGCTCGATTTTGTTTCAACTCTTTAGTAAACTTAGACGATGCTTTTCCGCTCGCAATTGTTGCTGAATGTGTCGGGAAGTCTTGTGATAGCCTTAATAGAGTCGCGAATGGGTCATCACTGCTCATAACGAAACTGGCAGCGTTCATGCCAAGGGTAGACACTTCAGATGCAGATAAGGGTTTCAAGTCCGCAGGTGGCTCTTCTTCTAGATCCTCAGCGGGTGCTAATGTAGGTTTTTCTGCATCATTATCCTGTAGGACCCTCTGTTTCGCGTCTCGATCGTCGATCACGATATAATCCGTCCGCTTAAGGGCAAGCTCCACTCCATATCCATTGACGAAAAGCGGTCTCGGGACTTCAGACCCAGATGGCCGATATCGAATCCTATATGAGAACTGGCCGTCGCGAGCTTTCTCGATAAGTTCCTGGTGGAACCCACCAAAGAGAGGTGACGTAATGTCAGCATATAGGATTAATGGAGGCAAAGAAGAATCTCCAAGCACTCGGTCAAACGGCAAAATTCGATCGTGCCTATTATTTATATTAGTCCCCAATTCTCTACAAAGCGGAATATCACTCACTCACTGGTCTCCAGACACGCTCTGCTGTGCATATTCTAAACTGGGTGAGCAATACTGGTCGCCATCATAATGCGCCCACACAGTGCAGACCGCATCTTGCGCGGCCATTAACGACGGCTCCACTGAAGTATTATAATACTGATAGTGAGCTTCGATCCGCGGCGCCGTGGATCGCAACGATAAGGCAAATTTAAACAACGAAATAGCTTCGGGATGAGTAAGGTGTCCATCCTCTTGCAGTAGCTGTGTAAATCGCTCATAGAGGCCTTGATCCGTTGTGATTTCTGCGAATGTGCCTTCAGCAATGCGATCCAGCAGGGGGAAGTAGCAGGTAGAATTCTCCTCCGCAGCAGTTTCTCTAGGTTCTCAATTAGTTTTAGTTCAGAATGTTGTTTCCTTTCCAAGAAAACGAGGAGAGCCCTTTAATAGAGAATAAAAACATACAAAAGCTCTACCAGATATGGCGCAGCATTGAATGAGGTTGTTAAGGCGACATTGACTGAAGGGCCTGCGATAGCATTGGAGGTAAATAGCAAAGAGGCCCCAAAAAGCGCCAGGCCCCCCAATCGCCAGGGGAATGGATGGTATCTAAAGGTCATGGTGTATACGCGTGATGAGCGAATGTACAGCTTTAGAGTCTGTGTATGTGGAAACCAATGGGATGTATATCAGTCCCATCCAGATAGCTCTTAACATGGCACAACCAAGCTAGATCCAGGTTATGGAGCTGTTGCGATAGGAGCAATTCCCACCGAACCGCTAGAATAACATATTTCCCGTGCGGAAACTGTATTAATACTTAATTAGAGCCAATATATTCAAGATGGCAAAGAGCGACAGCGTATGAAACCACAACTGAATGTGGCCTTGTTGAAAGTAAGCTGGTCGTGATGTTTCGGACACCTAACTAGGTAAATATCTGGCTGAGTCAGCAGATAGCTCTGTTGGCATATATTACCTACCGTACCTACCCCGTTCTACGTTTAACTCTGCGAGCCAAAAGTGCTGATATAAAATTCATCACAACATCCGCAGCTTACCCCTGAATCTTGCTGAGCAACATCAATAGAATATCAACGGAATGTATATAAACTGCAGTTCTCTGAAAAAGGCCAGTCACTAAAGGCACGACATGTCTGAGCCAATGGAAGCAATAATACATATTCACAAGCCGCGTTTGTGCAAATTCTTATGGTCACAGTAGTTATCAAATTGAAATGACCAGCAGATATGCCGAAAAATATATGTACAGTACATACATACATTACAGCACTTGTGCAGAGCTAAGAAAAAGGGCGCGAAACCTCAAAAACGTTACCTAGGAATTCGGCCTGCCACCTAAGGCGGATATAACTGATCATATTCTCCGCCCTTGCTTCTCTACCGGTCTCCATTGACAGGTAACTAACTATCAAATTCCCAAGCCGCATGTTCATTTACATTTTACAACTTTGCACCTTTCTTCACCTTGACAGCTGAAAGCTTGAGTGCCTCCCGGACGCCCAAATCAATGAGCACGTCCTCCGATCCACCTATACAAAGCACGGGGGTGTTAGTAGTGAAAATCATGGTCTGAGCACGACAATTCCACCGAAAATCAAACTTACCGGGAACGATCAATGAGTGAGTGCCGCGCGAAATCGCCTCGATACGAGAACCCTGACCAGTCTTCGTGAGACCCAGCCTGCAGTTTCAAGATCCCGTTAGCAAAGAATCCAAAGACCCATTGAAAAAAAGTCGATAGGGGGAGGAAAGATATAGGGATGATTGCATACCCTCCCATAATCTGCACACAGTTATCCGCAACAAACTTATTCACCTGCCCACCCTTTACCTTCAAAAGCGCCGTAACGCCACCCAACTGCCGATTCCCATCCTGATAGCTCAAATGGTCCAATTCGTAGACAATCTGCTCCGTCCACGCCTGCAGCGCCTCAACCTCTTTCGCCATAATGCCGAATTTATACCTCACGACTGGCTGTTCAATCAGCTTCATGCCAAATGCCTCGCGCTTCATAGCCCACGCCATTGCATCTTGCAGACAGGTGCGGGCGTTGCGAAGGCTCTGGAAGGCGATCCACAGACGCTCATGATTGAAGTTGCTCATGACGTATCGGAATCCTTGGCCCTCAGAGCCGACGAGGTACTCGACGGGCACCTTGACGTCCTCGAAGATAACATATGTTGTGGCGCTCAGGCCCTCGGCGCCGATTTCGATTTTGCGTGTGCGCATCCCTTCGGTACGAGGGACCAGGAGGAAGGAGATACCCTCAGCACCAGGGCCACCAGTTCGGACGGCGGTCTAGGAACAAGTCGTTAGATATGTGATAATTTGGAAGCTGATTTCTTTGAAAAAATTTAAAAAGTTCCCTTATTTGCACATCTTTCCCGATTTTGATGGAAAAAAAAAAACTCACCATGAAATAGTCAGAATACATGCCATTGGTGATCCAGTAAAGTCGACGTCAGCCAATACTTCTTGATATGAAGAAAGTTGTGCTTCAGAAAAAACTTATCTTCTTCTCTCCATTGACAATATAATACTTCCCGCACGCAGATTTCTCAGCCGTCGTGGTCAAGTTCCTAACATCGGATCCGCAAGACGGCTCCGTAACAGCAAGGCAGATTCTCTTCTCCCCGCTCAGGATCTCCGGCAAAATCTTCTTCTGCAACCACGGCGACGCGAATTGCCTAATAGGTGGTGCTCCCACAGTCTAGAGAAACAGGCCATATAAAGTCAGTACGTACACAGGAACATACCACATCTCTGAGTTCCAACCGCGGGAAGTGCGGGGGGGAGGTTGATGAAAATAACCTACCAACCCCACGAAGATACTGGAAATGGCCCCGCCACGGTACAACTCATCCCACAACACAAGGTCGTGGAACCCATTCCACTCACTGGCCTTGATGCCACCGATGATGGGGTAATGTGCAAATTCCTCCGGTATGGACTTGCCAAAGGCAATTGGGAGCAGGAGTCCGTCGTGTGCGCACTTCAGATACACTTCATCCGGCACCTTGCCGGCTTCTCGCCATTCGTCCGTTTTATCAACGACGTTCTATGCAAAATGGAGCATGTAGCGAATATGTGAGTTTGAAGGACGGATTTCTTTTTACTTTTTTCCCCCTTTTCATACGATCTTTTCCTTCACGCGGAAGTTTTAAGTTGGAGATAGAGAGACAGATAGTAACGTACCTCCTCCGTCCATTTGCGCACTGCATCGCGCAGTCTGAAATGAGATTGGTTGTAATATGGTGAGGGACGCCCGGAGTACCTGCAATCCATCCGAATGTTAACAAAATGCACCGATTTCCGACCTCTTATGTATAGTCATTCTACACCAAAACAATAGAACAAATCAGATGGAGTGAGAATGCCCGCAAATAGCAGGGCTTGTTGTTCGCTGCAAACTCACCAAGCTGGCTCAGCCCATGGCAGGGCGCTGCCAAATTGCTTTCCCGGATCCATTATTACGATATATAATTAATTTTGTCTGATGAACAGTACAGTATCTAATATGGATCCTGTTTTCGACCAACCAGAGAAGACGCAGCACGGGGTAAATCAGTCAGCTGTTGATGCTTGTCTTATTATCATCATGCAAGCCAGAATAATACAGGCAGTTTTGCCATTCCATTAATATGGGTGTCTAGGTGCGGATATATATGTAGGGTTCAGCCAGCGCAGCTGCAAGGGATCTATCTAGCCGTATCCGAGCCGACCTCGGGATAAAATTGACACAATAGCTCCGTCGAGGGGGGGTAGGTATTTGGCGCCCGCTGGCTGGATCGATTATTATTTATTATTAACTGCGTCAAGCAAGCAACCCATCCCCAAGGTGGTGGATGGGTTGGGATGGAGTGGAATGGGGAGTGTGTAGCGGAGTGGACAACCCTCCTCCTCCCCCCCCACAAAGCTTACCTCGGCTTGTTAGCGAACTGCTCTCGCTGTCGATAGCTATTATTATTATTTGTAGGCTACTGGGGCAAAAGAGCTCAATCACCACCAGCGCACTGCTGGTAGAAGGGCCGATCAACCGCGGGACCCCCAACATTATTATTATTATATAGTAGCAGAAACAACCTTGGACCAAGGAAGTGTAGACGCCCGAATAGTTGGAGTATACCAATTACAGTTATTAAAGTGATTTTATTCTTACTATTTTCATTTAATTTTTTTGTACTTCATTCAATACAACATCTCTTCTCTTTCCCCTCCCCCTTTCTCGATCATTTCCCATAGCAGTACAGAGCAGCTACATACGTTACAAACTCGCCGGCGAATAAAAAAAAAAAAAAAAGAAAAGAGAGAGATACACAAAAAAAAAGGCACAAAAAGAAAAACAGAAATAGTTCATTTTTCATCGCCCGCATTCCATCTCAAAACAAAAGCCAGCAGCAGCCCCAAGAGAGGAAGAAAATGAAATGAATCAAATGTCCAGCTGACATCACACAGCTGGACATAAAGAACAGAGAACCAGGAAAGAAAACCACATTCAAAGGTATCCGGGGTATGCATGCATTTGAGAGGCATACGGCGTAGTAGAATAGCAGAGAGCAGATTGCAGCAGATACAGCAACGGGCACGCCCCCCCCCCCCACCCCGCTCCGCCCCGCCCCGCCCTGCCCTATGCTCTCTCACCCCGCATATTCAAAATGAATTGCATCAGGCAGTTCATCTCAAAAGAATGACCATGTAGAAGGTCCAAGAATAAGTAAAAGAAAGGAAAAAAAGGAATAAAAAAAGGAATATCTCCACGTTCTCCTCACGCCCTGTTCATATCGCCACACCCTGTCTGCATTCTGCATTCCGCATATTATTGCATTCTCTCTCCTCGTGGGGAGCCATGATATTTTTTTTTTTTTTTTAGAAATTCAACATAGAAAAAAAAAGAGGGAATTAAAATAAGATTGAGGCCTTTTTTTTTCCTTCGCCGTTATACCACGTGTTTCCCCCTTTCTCTTTTTTGCCCGCTCCTCGCTCTTAACGTAACACAACCTGTTTGCGGCATTTTTTTTTTAAATTTTTTTTATTTCCCTCGGCGTGGACCCGAATCAGTCATGCTTTAGGTCTCTGATTCTTTTTTTTTTTTTTGTGGGGGGAGGATTCCGAAAAAGGTAAAAGGGAAAAAGTATTGCCTAAAGAGGCAACAGAAAAAAAAAAAGAGGAGAAACCGAAGAAAAAACCCATGCCATGTGTCCACGAGGAAATCGAACCAGACACTAGCTGAAATAATCCTAAGATTCTCGTTCCCGCGCCCCAAAATGTTTAATTCCAACGCTGTGTAGCAAAAAGAAAAAAAGGGGAGGGGGGGGGGAATATTGCAAGGTACACAATGCAATGTCCAAAAGAGTTTTTGGATGCATCGGTATTTGTAATCGCCATAATGAATAATGAATCAAGCAGCAACGAACGCGACTCCAACAATTTTCAACAATGCATTTATCTATTTATTTTTATTTTTTTTGCTCCAGCGTTCCCAACAGAGTCAAGAGAGAACATCGTGAAATAATAAAAGGGAAATCCTAGATATCGAGGTGGTACACCAAAAAGTCCGTTCTGGAACGGACTTCGACTTTGGGTTGCTTGCACGCGAAAATGGAACGCGCATGTAGAGTGGTAGTCAAAACCCACAGACAAAAAAAAAAAAAAAAAGAAAAAAAAGGGGGGGTGGGAAGGAAGAAAGGAAGGAAGGGGGGGAAATATATCATTACAGTCAGTAAAAGAGCGTGTCTTTCTCCATCATCATAACTTGTTAAACGAAGGACGGACGACCAGGCGTGACGAGAGAGTGAAAAATCAAAGTAAAGGATAAAACTCCATAAAAAGCGAAAGAAAAAGACTAATAAAGCGGGCCATCCAGTTTCATGTTTCGTGTCATTCCATAAGCGATCGGATTTCGTTTTCACATACCTTGGTGTTGGGTTGAAATATAAAAAAAAAAAAAAAAAAAAAAAAAAAAAAAAAAAGGAAAAAAAAGGAAAGAAAGTGGTAGTTGATAAACAATTGTAAAACGAAAGAATGAAAAAATAAAAGCCAGCTCATTCTTGTAACATATTGAAACAAAGGGTAATGAACGTTAAAAACATAATAAATCACGCGCTGACTCGTTTGTTATGTTTCAAATGAGGATTTGCCCCATCGGCCTGTGCGTGATTGGAATTGGCCTTAATATTGTTGTGGTTGTTGTTGTTGTTGTTGTCGTTGTTGTTGTTGTTGTTGCTGCTGCTGCTGCTGCTGCTGTTGCTGTGGGTATGATTGTGCTTCGCCTCCCAAATCATCCGCTTCCGTCGAAACTCCTCAGCGTCAAACTCGTCCTCGCCATGGCTACTGCCAAGACTTCGATCGCGTTCGCCCAGAATGCTCGCCGAGCGCATTTTGCGGAGCGCCCCGACGGTACGCGATGATTTGGGTGGCTTGACTTTGTTCTCGATGAAGTCGCCGCGCGAGCGCATCTTGCGCAATTCCTTGCCGATGCGTTCTAGGGTGGAGCTGCCACTGTTTTTGCTGGACTTGGGCAGTTTCGCCGCCTTGGCTGTTGGGGATGGCGGGAGTGGTTTGTTGAAGAATCTGCTGGAGGTGGTGCTCGTGCTGTTGTTGTAGTTGTGGTTTATGTTGTTATTGTTATTATTGTGGTTGTCGTTGTTCGTGTTGCCGGAGCTGCTGCTGGTTGACGGGCGGTGGTAGTCACTGTTGGATCCAAAGCTGATTCCCGAATCGACCTTTCGGCCCTTGTTATGTCCATAATATCCAGATTGTTCCTCGAGGCTGTCGCGGCAGTTGACTTCGAAGCATTCGTTGATGATGTCAATTGCCGAGAACATGTATTTGTTGATATATTCATGAACCACCGGCCATCCTGTAGACTCCCCTGGCCGCTTGTCCTTTGAAATGAGGGGGTCAAGCACGCGTTGACCTTTATCTTCTACTTGGCATATGTACCTGAAGAACCTCTGTCGCTCTTCCATGAGCAACCTTTCACAAACGTGGGCAGCAGGACGTACAGATATCACGGCGGGGAAAAGAGTATTGAGCATGGCGACGCAGTGTGCTTTGTTGAAAGGAGGGAGAAGCATCTCATTAATTAGAGTCTGAGATCAATGTTAGCAATGAGCATACAAGTGTGAAGACAAGGATTCATTCATTCTGCGTTTAGGTTAGTGTTAGTGGCTTACCCAATGTCTAAGACGGAGGTAAACTTGTGAGTATAGAGCAGCAGCAATTCTATCCTTTTCCATGATCGAATCGATCCAGCTCGCAACCCCCGGATACCGCCTGGCAAGATCATCTTTGTCAAAGGCGCAGTCAAGCACTCCAAGCTTCTCCAAGGCAGCTTTGATCTCTTTTCCCCGACGCTGCTCAAGGTCTCGGAGGTAGTCGAGGGCGGTCAATGCTTGGGGAAAGTCGACGAGCGCGAGATTTTCCGGGAAACAGCGGCGGACAAAAGAAGCAATAAAGTTGGGGGGTAGAGAACATGGTTGAGAAGGCAATTGAGATATCTGGGACATGAGATGCATTTTAAAAAGCGCAGCAGCGGTGTTCACGTTAAACGCGGGGTTTTTCTCCTCCTTGTGTCCGGGGTTGTGACGCGATGGAGGGAACGCGTTTCCGTCGAATTCACGGGAGAAGGGCGAAGTAGGGGCGGCGCCAGGACTCTTGGGGAGACGCGAGAAAGGGGGATGAGCTCCAACGGTGGAATTCAGGGCGTACATGGTACGAAGGGGGATCTCATAGGTCTCTGGTTGGTTGTAGTGTTCAGCGATCCATGCCCAGGCAGAATCCTCCTTGGATTGAGGGCTGGCGTATTGACGACCCGCCATGGTTAAAGAATAGGTAAGATGTTATAATGGTAGCAGTAGTGACAAGGGCTTGTGAGTGGGGTGGGCGGTGGGTATGGTTGTTGGTGTTGATATAATGCGAAAAGAGGCGAAAAGAGTGACCAGCAAAAAGTCCAGACAGACTGGGCTGTGATATAAAAAGTTGGAGACCCCAGGATCAACAGAGACGACGCCAGCTCTGACAGGGTTTGAATGACTCCAAATAGGTTTTGTTGAGAAAGTTACGAAGATGTCGACGACAAGTGTTTATAGCTACACGTTGTCACAGCATCCTCCATGATAAGCGTTATGCTGAGTGAGTGAGAGAGATATTGGGACTCTCGGTTGCTGTGGTGGCCGGTATCTCACAACCGTAAAACAATCAACAATGAGAGAATATCACTGTTAATTGCAGTCGAAAAATATCATTAGCTATTGTTCGGAGTATCCAAACATTGAAATAAGGAATTGCACAAGAATGAAAGTGATTTTAGGCCATGTTGTTTAATATATTGACTTGAGAGTTCTGTTGTTGAATCAAGGTTGAGCGACAGGGAGGAGGGGAACAGAAACAACGATACCTTAAGAGAAGCAAGCGGTTTCTGCTACAAAAGAACTCTAGGAAGTTGATGATAATGAATGGCTCCGAGTTATATTCCAGCAAGTGGACACGTAGTACCACCAGCAGAAAGCAGACAATAATTGCGTTTCAAATGGTATCAGTCAGTGTCAATGGGCAAGCACCGAAAAAAGCACCAAAATTGCCTGTCTGGGTTGGAATCAAGAGGAAAAAGAATAGATAGAATAAAAGATACAGAGAGCAACTGGAGCAACTGGAGCAACTGGAGCAACTGGAGCAACTGGAGCAATTGGAGCAACTGGAGCAACTGGAGCAACTGGAGTGTTTCAAACAGCCTTAGAGACTCCTCGCAGACGACCACACTGGGTGAAACAAGGCCTTGGAGAGTAGAGTAGAGTAAGGAGGGAAAACAGTTATAAGCTCCGAGTTAACGATCGATATATGTACGGACGGGGCTTATTATGTATGGTGAATTCTGGATGGACCAGAAGCGGCCGCAGCAGGTCGGTCGGTCGGTGCTACGAAGGTGCTTTTACATATAATTAATTAATTATCCCATCCCAATCCAATCATCCATATTACCTGCCCCGTCCCAGCTCCCAGCAGCTAACTTAAGAGGGTTTGGGAGCCTGTAGATCCAACTGAGCTCAGCACCCAGAGCAATCTTGATCAGAATATTCTGACACGGCTTTTTTCTTTTTTTTTTTTCTTTTTTTTTTTTTTTTTCCAAAGCAAGCCACTGCGGTGTTCCACTTTTGCATACCATACCCTGACTGAGGCCACTGGTTGGTCTATTCTGGTTAATTTTTTTTTTTTTTTTTTTTTTTTGTTATTTGTTATGGAAAACGTATTGATTATTCCACTAGTTATTAATTTTTATTAATAGTCTTGCCAGGAATATTCCTCGATTATTATTGAGAATTCTGCGGCTGTTTTCATGATGCTTGCCTTGAGCCAATCCCGCTGTTTTCGGTTTTTATATAATTATATATACGCAGTATAAGTTAGTACAACCCTTGGATCAATCATGATAGTTAACTATCAATTAAATACTCCATACATACAAGATAGATGACTGAACACTAATAATACATTTGCCACGAGTAGCACGGCCAGGAGAGACAAATCACCTCAACTACTTGCGGGTTCCTGACAACTGCGGTTGCATGTCAAAGGGTGAAACTCCCTGTCTCATAATTCCACTCGCCTTCTCGGCCTCCTCAGCCCTCCTGTCGTTGTGGTTTGCTTTTTCTGCGAACCTGTCTCTCTCCCCCAAACCCGAAAATGGGGTAAGATGGATGGATCCTTTTTTTTTTTTTTTTTTTTTTCTTAGTTACGTCCTCCTGCGGAGTACGTAGTAAGTTACCTTGTTCAAGTTTAGGGCTGTCTGTAATAATAATAATAATAATAAAGAAGCCTGTGAGCCACATCGATGGAACCATCTTGCAGGTCAATCAGAGCGAGACAAGAACAGAAAAAGAAACATATTGTGGAGACTTTTGACAAGCGCCTGGATGGCGGACATCGAACCGGCGACCCGGTGCTTAGAGGGCGTTTTTTTTTTTTTTTTTTTTTGAGACTCTGATGAGAGACTGCTCACATCTTGGTTTGAGGTTTAACTAACTTATCCTGGTGAAATCAAGAATTCCCTCGCACACAGATAATATGCAATTGGAGAGGAAAACAACCTATTCGAGCCTCGACCATGCCCTTGAGTAAATAGTTAAGTTAATAATATACTAGTCAATATCGGATGCTTTGAGGGAGTGTGGATGAAAATCAAGAATCAAAGAATCTCGCTCACCCTCCTACCCATCCCATCCGTCCATCCATCCCATCCCCATCCCCCTCCCCCTCTCTCCAACCTTCAACAGCCCCAGGCATCCAGGCATCCAGGCATCCAAACACCCAGATACCCAGCCAGGCACGATACGATACCTCTTAAGTTCTTCACACCCCAGCTAGCTTTGTGTGAAAGCCCCAGTTTTCCAAGGATTCCGGCCTCCAGTCCCACAGGCCCCGGAATCCGGAACGTCTCTGGACTGGCTGGACTGGGCCAAATCCTCCTTGTCGCCGTCACACTCGTTGGAATCACCTGGAAAAATCCCCTCCCTTCCCCTCCCCATAGGATAGGCGCAGTGGGCGGAGACGATGAAGCCCCATCCCGGCCCGCCTCCCTCCGAAACCGAAAATACAGGAACTTCGATACGCTTGCGATCGATGACGCAGAAGAAGCTGTGTCGATGATGCGGCTATTATTGTCTTTCGAACTAAACTAGCCTAGTAACTAGTAACTAACTAGTTCAATAACGTCGACCTGTGTTGTGCGAGGAAAGATCTCGAAAAAAAAAGGAAAGCTCCGGCGAGAATTCTCACATTTCTCATCAACACGCCGCTTATTTTTATTTTATTATTATTTATTTATTTATTGTCGTAAAAAGTCCGGCCACATACATAATCATCATCCTCTTGCTGCTGTTCCTCCATCTCGCCGGTCCGGTCCTCCAACGGAATGTTCTCTGGAAGAAGAAGAAGAAGAAGAAGAAGAAGAAGAAGAATAGCGGATGAGGACCCTCCGGCCATTGGTCCGGCCCATTGGAAGTTGCTCCCGGCTACTGCAAGTCACGTGTCCCATACTCTATACAGAACCTCGGTAGCTACAACGCAGATTCCGACGTTTGATCCCTCCCTACTTTCCCTGTAGCAAGTTGACATGAATGACATGAATGGCTAAGCCAGCCCAGTAAATGAGTCTCTCCGGCAGCCCAAAATCTCTCCATGGATGAAGGGGGGGGGGGTGGTCTTGGTACATTAATTCTGACAATAAGTAAGAGGGGAACATTCCGGCCTCTTTTCGACATGCTCTATCTAGCTGCATTATTTGCGAAACTAATGGAAAAAAAAAAAAAAAAAAAAAAAAAAAAAAGACCCCATGATGCAGAGTGAAATATCAAGTCGAAAACAAGTTTCCCTCTCTCTGCCTCCTTTATGTTGTTTTCTTCATTTTGCAACCCAACTACACCACCACCCCCTTCCATCCCTCTACCGCCTGACAATTTTGCCTCCTTCATGATTCATGGAGATGGCTAGGAATTGCTATGTGCGATGAGAACAAGTTACATTTGTTTACATCCCCAAGTGCAACCTACGCTACATGGGCGGAGTAGCACACACCACTATCATACCCTCGCACCAGATCTTCCTTTGCCTCTCTTCGTCTTCTACTACTACTACTACTACTACTACTACTACTACTACTACTACTATGTTATGTATGTACGTACATACTATACCAACTACCCACCCCGGTTTATTTAACTCAGGAACGTGCTCATAAACTGCATGGGTCCCTTGTGTGTGCAATATCAAAAAAGGGGAAACAGGACAGTGGCGAAACTGTACAAATGACGCATTCGATACACCTGTGCAGTAACTACTTTCCAGGGCCGAGAGGGCCTTGGAGATGCTCGCCTGAGTTACGACCTCGAGATGTCAAAAATGTGGCGGAGGGGACTGGAGCGTGGAGCGGAGCGCATATCCATGCCCCCAACCTCCCGTGATACACACCTTTCCGTAAGGACTTAAGAAGCGGAGTGGGATATACTTGATTGAATGTTTTTTTTTTTTTTTCCTTCCCTACCCAGGATCACATTAAGTGACATTGATACTTTGTAGTCCCCCCTTTTTTTAACCCCGAAGCTGTCAACCAGACAGTGGAAGAAGACAATGTTCTTCTTCTCGTCTCTTCTCCTCTACAAGGATATCCTCATCATCCCCCAAGCCCCCTCGGGAAGAGGAGAGTGCTCCTCGGCAAGATCCACTCGGGGTCCATCGGGGTATCGGGGTGCCCTGCATCATGTTGTGTCCTGCATGCCTTCCCTACACCGGTATACATGTAGGTACAAGGTACATGTACCTGGTCATGCATGTATGCGGGCCAGTTATCCAGCCCATGGGATAAACAATATGATCCCACGAAACGGAATTGTTCAGTCTCTTTTTTTTTTTTTTTTTTTTTTTTTTTTTTTTTTTTTTTTTCCTCCTCCCTTCCACTACCATACTATGATCCTACTTCCTCCGTCAAACATGGTCTCCCTCTGCTCATCTTCCACTGTCTCCAAACCACCGAGGGACGGACGGGGACACACCTGCCTGTCCGACGAAGACCATTCCCCTCCGCCCTCCCCGCCACATGGAAAGTTTTTCCCGCCGTAGCTCCCACAAGCATGCATTGCCCCCTCCCCTCCTCTCTCCCATCAGGAACTCCCTCTCACGAAAATATCGCACCAATTACCCAATAAAAACAAAAAAAAAAAAAAAACGACACATAACCATGCATATCTACGCGACAACAAGTCGCGAACAAACAAGCCAATTGACATGACTTATATTGAGAAAAGTGGGGAGAGAGAAGGTGTGAGGAAACGCACGGAAGATTTTCTTTTTTTCCCTATTTGACACTTATGCCCCCGTGTGACATGTTACAGTAGTTACAGTACAGACTGATTGGACTAAATATGTTATATATGTAAAAAGAAAAAAAAAAAAAAAAAAAAAAAGACTATTTATTGATGCAGGGAAGCTCCCCGCAAAATGATGATGTATGTAGGGACTTGGGGTAGGTAGGAGGGTCGGTGTGTATACAGGTCAACCGCTGCGGGGGATGGATGATGTGATGTAGTTATTCCTAGGTATGTAACTGGCTTGCTTCCCTAGCGCTTAGGAGGTCGGTGTAGTTTGCGTAAGCGCAACCTGGGCAATGAAGTCGTAGGAGAAAAAAAAAATGCACAAAGCCATAGAAAGAAAAAAAAAAGGAAAAAAAGGAAAGGAAAGGTTGAAACTGACCGAGGCGGGGATGGATTTCCCTTGCATATATGTAGGGTAGGATATGTACTGTATGTATATATATGTGTGTATGTATGTATGTATGTATGTAGGTAGGTAGGTAGGTAGCCCTTATCAACTTTTTTAATGAATTTGACATTCAGATGAAGGAAGTATGTATATTCAAATTGAGGAAGTGAGCCGCGGGTGGGGGGGGGGGGGGGGAAGTTATGAATGAATGTATCAGGGAAAAAATCATATTCTTCATTAGATCTTTTTGAATATTTGTATAACAATCACTATCAGTCCTCAACAGTGGAACAGCCCCTATTGTTCAGAGAATTTCCAGAAGGAATTACAAAAAATGGGAGTTAAGTTAGATGACAGGCCACCCACCATCTGAATAATAGGAAGAGAACCGTTTTAACGCAGCATTGAAGGTTGGGGGGGAAAACGCCTGAACGAGACCCGGGAAATAGATAAATAATGAAGGTAAATAACTAGAGGTTTTATCCGTATGGAAGTAGAGAGAAGGAGAAAGAGAAACAAACAACCCCGGCCTTCCCCCAAAGCTTGGTTCATCACATTTTCTCCGCCATAAGTTAAATAAGTTACCTTTACATTTACGACTAACTACATAAATATCTCCCCTGCATCCAAAAACAAAGAGATCAAAATGCAAGCTGCTATATCCTTCCTCCACCACAGCACGCATCTGGCACCTGTCTGTCCATCACCATCATCCCTGGCCACCAAGTGACAATTCGGCCATTTGTATGAAATCCAGTTGTGGTTTTTCCTTCTTTCTTTTCTTTTTTCTTTTTTTTTCCTCCCGCTCTTTCCCCCCCCCATCCAACTTTCTCCCCCCTGTTTGACAACAAAGACAGAAAAAAACGAGTTTTTCTACCCTGACCGGACCCTCCAAAGACCCCGAGACACCTAGAGATGTCACAGCGCATTCAAACAAACAATATATATATATGTGCGGGCGCGAGATGCAGACCGCTACCGAGGTTGTCACTATCTAAACCATCGGAGAGCGGGAAGGGTATGTGCATTGCCATTTCCATCTCACCGTTCCATCTCCCATATATATATATATATATATGTATTCTCAGCAGCCTCCCTCGAAATCGGGCCGGGGCCTGGGAATGAACGAGGGTTATTTAAGGAGAGATGCCATTGCAGAGTGACAGAGTGAATAGAGAATGGAACATGCTTCATTCGCAGATCCACTCATCGAATTGCTGCTAAAGAAGGGCTGGTGAAACTGTCATTTGAAGAATAATTGATTTGTTATATCACGCAGGTAGAAAGAGATTTTTTTTTTTTTCTTTTTTTTTTTTTTTTTTTTTGTGCGAATGGAGCTGTCAATCACCCCCCTGAAGCTGAAGCTGTGCAGTTCTTGTTTTTCTCATGGAGACCACCGAGAAACAACATGCCCTTTACATTCCAGCAGATATTCACATTCATTTCTAAGGCAAAGGGAAGAAGGAAGTTCAAATGACCAACTCTCTGATTGCTAAAAACCGAGCCTCGGAGCCTACTGCAACATGTAACTATCCATTCAAAATAGTAGTGTGGAATCTGGTCCATAATGAATATATATACTTCTTCTAACTACTACTGCACAATTTTGCGATTGAAACACACACAATCAAATTACAATAACTGCTATTCAATGAGCAAATAGCCAAGACTGTGAGAGATACTGTAAGTTACATATCACCAACCCCTACCAGATATTAAGAGTATTCAGATATTGGTGATTGGTCCGGCCGTTTATGAGGGGCGAAACGCTTCCACATACATCATACATACATACATACCCAAACCCAGCAACCGGGTACAGATAGAAAGCAGTCCCCTACAGCGTACATACGGAGGAGTAACTTAGTCTTCTGCAGTCACAAGTCGCCCCAACCACCAGCGCTTGTTTTTTGAACGCTATGAAGCTAAAACTGAACTGGTTGGAACTTGGCAATTTGAAGGACGGACGCAGAATTTAACTGGCAATCGACTCCACATATCACAGGAGTTGGAAAAGGTTAATTGAGCAAAAGATCAATCATATTTTAAGTCTGGGCAACTGGTAGGGTAGGGGTAGCTTAAATGAGGGAAAAGGTTTGGGTTTCTCTCTACGGCAAAGATTGATATTTACGCTGCAACACCCAGACACGAGACAACAACTTTTTTTATAGGTTTAGTGTTCTCAGGGCCTAACGTACTGTTACAATTCCTCCAACTGTAATAATAGTAAGCCTAAGATCTTTGGAGAAGCCCAGGAGCAAGACAATGTACGGAGTACTCCGTATATAGAGGAGTGCTGGGCACAGCTGGTAGGAGCCAAGCCATGGCTTAAGATCTTTTTTGACCTAAGCAAGTCGCAGTTATTCTGAACTTCAAGATGTATTTGGGGAACACTAGTAATTTTGGATGGAAGACTACTAAACCTATAAAAAGGTAGTGGTTTTCTTCTGGGTGTAAATATCAATCCTGAATTTGGTGGCGCTTGCGCTTGTCAACCGTTGGGGTGCGAAGCTGTTGTTAATGAGAGGTAACTATAGTTAGTTAATTCGTTTTAGCACTTGCCCATGAAATATATCATACAGGAACAGAAATGACATGAATGATGGAAGTGAAACGATTGTCAATTTCCTTCCTCCTTTTTACCCTCTTCCTCCCCCTTATCGTGATCCGATTTTCCATTTCTCTAAGTTAACTTATATCCTGAGTGGTTGCGGCGAGTGCCTTCTGGCTCCGTACAATGACCTCACCGCCCAAAGTTTTCCTTTATCCAACCCATGGGATTCAAAATGCTATCTGGATGGGACATAATTACCAACACCTCAATATCATGATTTTACAGTTATTCCTATTCCCCTTTATATTTCTCAATTTATTATCGTCTACTAACGAACTACCCGTGGGATTGATGCCCTGCTGCGGACCTTTTGTCTTCTTATCGCCATAGTACTTTTTCTTTAACTACCAACTCTATTTCTTTGAATATCCTATTCATACACATACATTCATTGCTCACGACAATCATGGCGGCGGGACCGCATACTTTTGGTGAGTAGCTGGCTATTCAATCTAACCCCTTCGCATACCTGAAGTCCTGTTCGTGATGAAGGGCGGAGGATAGCTAATGAGCTTTGGTAGTTGTCGCGGATGTCTTTACTGCGAAAAGGTAGACCCTTAACCCACTTTTTTGCTAGACTAGCATCGAGATATTCGGCATCTATCTTCCTATTGTTGATTTCTTGAAACCAGTCCTTGCTCCTCTGTGGAAGATATCAGCCCGTGTGTGCCTCTGGGCTAACATCTCCCAACTCTAGATATCTCGGAAACCAGTTAGCGATTGTAAGCGTGCGAAACAATGCTCTTTCAAAGACTCGAAAGCAGCGCATTGCCCTAGAATTCGGCTACGTGAACACTGTCTTCCTCCACGACGCCCCGCATCCCGGTCTACCCCGGAAACTAGAGATATTCAGCAAGACAGAAGAACGGAGCTTTTCCGGACAGGCCGTCCTCGGGACAGCCCACTACATCTTCCAGAAGCTCGAGGGCGAAGTCTCCATCTCCGCCGGTGACTGGTCCAACCCAACCGCTGCAGAAACCCAAACGGAACAACAAACCGCAAAGACAATCTGCCACTGCACCCTCCAGACAAAGGGCGGTCTCATTCAGGCCCACTACGATCCCGAGCGCCGGGTGGCCGCCATCGAAATCCCGCATAACGTACACATCCACGCCCGCGAAACTACCAAGGATGAGGTCATCGCCGTCCAGCGCCAGCTGCTCCCGCACCCCGAAGAAACCGCCAAGATGAAAGGCTCCTACCCCATCTTCTCCATCGCTCCGGGGATGACCTTCACCCTTGTGGACTTCACCTCGTGTCCCTCGCTCCTCTCGCGGCTGGAACCGGGATATGCACCTGAGCCCACCTTGGATGCCGGCTGGGCAGTACGCGTAGGCGAAGACGCCCCCTCGCCCTTCTGCGGCTGCGTGTATTTCCTGCAGCTGCAGACGGACTTCACAGAGGAACCGTACATCACGCGGCTACGGGTGCGGGTGATTGCGGCAGGGCTTGAAGAGGCGGCGTCAGCGAGCGGCTGCTCTGCCCTGGCAGCGTATCTGGCGCTGCAAAAGGGGGGCAAGAATTCGAGACATGCGTACGCCATTGAACAGGGCGTGGATGTTGGGAGGACGAGCCAGCTGTGTGTTGAAGTGAGGTTGAATGAGGCCGGCACAGATGTGTCCCGGGTGTCGCTTTCAGCGAAGGCGACGTTTGTGATGGAGGGGAAATTATTATGAGCTTTTTTTTTTTGACGCTAGGTGGATAATTGTTTTACCTTTTGCTTATTTTCTACGATTGCATCAAGATGCTTTTTGCTTTGTATTTTTCCTGCGCCCCATATTCCTAATTTTGCAATTTCATACCCATGCTGCATATAGTTAAAAATATACCTCGTGCACATTTTTGATGTTCTATGCAGAACCCGGGGGGGGAAGGAAATAACATCTAATATGAGAAATAAAAAGAATAACAAACACGAAGACAAAAATGAAGTATGATTTCATTTCAGTAGTACCTAAATCACTATCATCCATTCCATTATCAACTGCATAGAGGGTCAACATGGCATTTACAGATTCCATCTCTGCATATTTAGTGAACTAGCGCTCCAAGCTCCACCTATACAAAATACAAAAAATAAAACAATAAACATAAAAAATAAAATAAATAAAATAAAATAAAGCTATGGTTCTCTAGCAGCCCGTGCGTCTTCCCTCTTCCCATCCACCTCCAACTCGTTCCAGTAGTCGATTTCTAGTACTGGTACCATCAATCTTAGCTGATACATACCTACATAGGTATGCTGGATAGCAAAAAAGGGGGTGTGCACAATCGCACATCACTCACTGTAAAACTCTTTCTCACCTCTTCCTCCATTTCCTCCCCATCTTACCTCTCTATTCCCCCCCCCCCCCCCCCCCCCCCCGCATTTCTCCAATATGTCATGAAGTTCGCTCAATGTAGAAGGAAATCATACAATTCAACTTCCTATCCAAGACAATGGGGCCATGTATATCTATATGTACATATGTGTGCATGCACAGGTGCATAGCTAGGTACATAGGTACATACATACTTAAAAGGTATATATAGGTGCGTGCCCTTATCTTACCCCAGCCCTCATGTATGTACATGTAACATTCGTGTAAATAATTAGCAGAACCAAAGCATACCCAGATAGCTAGTTAGCTATTTAACTTCAGAGTCGCGTGTACATGTGCTACATCACATAAACTGTACACACACAGTACATACATACCTGCACAATAACAAAACGAGGGAAAAAAAAAAAAAGGTTCGGCTGGCTACGGGCGAATTCATCAAAATATCCCAAATATATTAACCGTAACCGTACATATCTATCTGAATAACAGATACGTTAATAAGTCCGTGTTCATAGGTAGGTCAGGTCTTTCTCCACAGACAGAAGACAGGAATTACCAGAAAAAGAATTCTAGTCGTACGCCCCATGCAAAACTACCTAAACACCTGCTGTACCAGTGAAGTAAAGCAAGGGACATGATAGTCCATGTCCTACAACCAATTCCCCTCCACCCTGTGAAGAGAGGATAGACCAACCGGACTGAAGGATGCGAGTTTGGTTTCTGGGTGCGCGTGATGGGAAAAGAGACGGGCATGAGATGGCCTATGTAGAAGCCGTAGAGAGCAATCTTTTGCGGCGGGGGAGCAGAATATCTGTGGTGGATGTAGGCTACGGTTTCTCTCAACATCATCAGCCGTGTTTGAATTAGAAAAAAGGGGCTGGTGGCACGTAGCGGGAAAGAGCACTACGGGGCCAGAAAAGGCTCTGCTCCGGTCCCTTAATCTTTCCCACCGGGCGGTCAAGGCCCGCCGTTTCCGCCTAATTTTCTGTAGGTAAATATTCGTTTACGAGACCTTAGACGGGGACAGTACATTTGTATTCAGTCGCTATTCAACCGCCGTCCATTGATAACTCATCACCCATTATTGTGCCTTGGGGTTGTTATTAATGTTGAACTGGCACTGAGTCTCTTGCTTCTCTCCACTCAAGGATTCCTGGAAGTACTTGAAGCAGAATATAACTCACTCAAGCAAGTGACCTTAATATCAAACATTTTGTAAACTTTCAATTTCTAGCGCCCAAGACAGGGAGTTTGAATTATTAACTCATCATCTCATGGCCCCGCCCAATGACTTGTCTTTGGCAGTTAAATCGAAACATTCATTTGTTTGTCTGAGCAATTCAGAGGAAGGAACAAGAACGCGATGAAAAAGAAAAGGCTGTTCACAGAGGATGTCGAAAGAGCGTTGAACTAGTATATGGGTTTGATGATGAGTTTCAGAATTCAACAGGATCTCTTTTCTGAAAAGTTGATCTCACGGAGCCACCTGGCGCGAAATTGCGAAATATTTGGCTAGATTATCCCCCAGTCCAGGGAAGCTGGGTATGGACAAAAGTGTATAATTGAACCAAGTCAATGTCATGGAAGCAGTTCCAGAGTGATGATCTCAGACAGGGTCCCCTGCAACGCCCGTCGTGTCCCTAAAAGATGACAGCTGTCACGCCCGCTGCGCCCTTTGGGCCTAGGAAGAATTCTCCGTAGGAGCACCAGAGACAAAAATGTGAAAAGCATCGGTAGGGATATTGTGGTAGTTTGGTACACATGGCACGGCACAAATGATCAGGTACTACCGTCAGTCGAAACAACATGTCGAAATCCGTTCACAGCTGCCGGCTCATCCATGCCAATGCAAAACAAGATGTACAGATTAGAGAAATCCGCCCCCGGGGGGGGGGGGGGGAGAGTTATTTAGCGAGTCTAGTACGGAAGAGATAAATTATTCAAGGCTTCTATGAGGTGCCAAAAGGGACAAACTAATGTGAAAAAGTCGCTGATGCTGCAACTGCTTCTCTCACTGCTGCTCTTCAGTGTCTCCACAATGAATGCGCCACATAATGAGAATCGCCACAACGTCAAACAAATCGATAACTCGAATTCATCTTCCTAGGTAGCAAGCCCATGGTGTGGTGTGGCGGATACATTTCATGAGAAGGGCTCCGCTCGCTGTCGCCAACGGCTGGGCGAATATCAGGACCTGCGAAATGGAACAAAATGAACAAAACAACAACACAACAGGACAAGTAAGGAGAACAGCAGGAATTAATGCAGAGCCCACAGCCCAAGCGATGGTTGTTTGAAGAAACCCGGCTCGATACCGAAGTGCGGCAGTTTTTGTTCGACGATGTCAGCCCCAGCGGCCTGCGCTAAGCCGCATCTGCAACAACCTCCCATCTTCTTTGCTCCTTGGGCTCAAACTTCTTCAACCTCACCTCCTTAACGCTACTCTCAGGGAATGCATCGTCAGCATCCAGAACTTTGAGAGTCTTCACTAACTACTAGTTTAATCGGACCCCGGCGGGGACGTACCTTCATTTTCCAAAATGGAACCACTCTCCTTTTGGCGGCTTATGGTGGGTATTTTTATCCCTTGCAGCTGGCCCCCATCTGTCCTGCGACAGCTTGGATGTCAAGATAGTTTCACTCTACCACTCTCGCTTCATGCGTTCGATATGCGTTCTCCGTATCGATCCTTCATATAGCCAGCTTGGCAGCTGTGATACAGCTATACATTTCCTGTTTTTCCCGTCCAAATGTGTTTTCTCCTTTTGCATTTCAATTATTTCAATTTCTCCTTCTCTTCCTTTCTCCTCTTGCATTGCCATTCTCCCTCCCTCAATAGTCTTCGTGTTTTGATTGTCCATATGGTCGTTTTGAGGGATTGCACTCTTTTCTCACCCCCCGTCCTCCCTCCATATAGAGAGAAATATCAAACCATTCATTTTTTGAAATAATTCCACGTTGATCGTGGAAGATTCTTCACATATCTCTTGTCTTATTACATTCTTTATTTTTGAGGCAGCGGGCCCTACTTTTACATACATTTTGCGGCACGTCACATTCCGGGAATCTACATAACTTCCTTTTCGAATTCAAGAATTTCGTGGAGATAATTTGAGGGCAAAAAAACAGAACATCTGAATTCAGAAATAGATTTGTTGCTCCCCATAACCTGTACAAACAGTGTTTGACAGCATGCAGTACAAAAACCTCTTGCTTGCCCTGGTTCTCTCGTCTGGATTTCTCGATGTAGTCGTCGGGGCGGATCTGCGGGCTCGCCAGAATGGTGGCCAAGCCGCAGTCGCCGCTCAGGACAGCAGAGGCGGCCAACGCCAAGCCGGTCAAGATCAAGAACGCGAACGCCAGGCTGAGAAAAGCCAGGGAGGTCAGCGCCAGGCAGGGCAAGGTGGCCAGGCCGCGCAAGATCAAGAACGCCAACGCCAACGCCAGGCTGGCCAAGTCCAGGGAGGTCAGCGTCAGGACGGACAGGGTGTCCAGGGAGGCCAAGGCCAGCAGCAAAACGGTGGAAACAACGGCGGAAATAACATCGGAAACAACGGGGGGAACAATGGGGGGAACAATGGGGGAAAAAACAGAGGGAATGACGGTGGGAATGACGGTGAGAATGACGGTGGGAATGACGGTGGGGATGACGGTGGGGATGACGGTGGGGATGACGGTGGGGATGACGGTGGGGATGACGGTGGGAATGACGGTGGGAATGACGGTGGGAACAATAATGAACTTCTACTCAACCCCAACAACGTTCAGGATTCCAGCAAGAACGACGGAACCGCTCAAGCAGAAGCAGGACAAGCTGCTTCCCTCACGTAAGTCTCGCAACCATTATTTCCCAGTATAGATACATGCTAATGGTCTATGAAAGTGACGACGCCAACTTTATCAATTTCTGCACTGGGAAAACATTGACCAATGGTCTTCAACGGGATGGCGGCTCTTGCAACGGTATTGGTAAGTTGTTCTATGCTATTGATTACGTCTATTGCCCGATGCGCTAGAACCTAATCAAAGCTGCGTACAGTTATGGGCGATATCCCTTCTCGTAACAATATGATTTCCTGTATTATTTTGAACCCGGCACCCGGTGAAGACCTCGAACCAAACGAGAGTTTCAACGTGGATATTCAAGTTGAAAACCTCGTGGCTGGGTCGTTCACCAATCCCGACATCACTTACTATTCGGCTCCTCAGCAACTCGTGCGTGGGAATATCGAGGGCCACAGCCATGTCACTATTCAAAGCCTCGGGAATAATATCAACACACAGACCCCCCCGGACCCGGACAATTTCGTCTTCTTCAAGGGGATCAATGATCCCGGTAACGGGCAAGGTGGACTCAGAGCTGAGGTTGATGGCGGCCTCCCACCTGGTGTCTACCGTGTCTGTACTATTAATTCAGCCAGCAACCATCAGCCCGTGGTCATGCCGGTGAGTTCCTTGGGATCCCACTAATTCTAAAAGACACGAAAACTGACAACTATTCTCTAGGTTGCTCAACGCGGCGCCCAGGATGACTGCATCCGTTTTACTGTTGGTCAAGGTAACAACAACAACAACAATAACAGCGGCCAGAACAACGACCAAAACAATGGCCAAAACAACCAAGGCCGCCAGAATGGTGGTAACAATGGCAGAGGCAATGGCAGAGGCAATGGCAGAGGAGGTTTCCTAGACCGATTCCGATTTGGTCGTACTAGGGAACGCATGCCTTTCAGAAAGAGAACATTCATTGCCTGAACGGACACATCTTCAGATTCAACCCTGTGATTTACGTGCTGAGAGTTAGAAACTACCCCTTACTTCAGTTCCCAGTGTCCAGCCTCTGACACGCCAGGACTCTGGAGGGGGGAACAGTTGTATCGCCAACACTGCCCTGTATATCTCGACATTTTTCGTATATTGTGGCATTTCCTACCCCCTAACCTTTTTTCATTATACTTCGTATCTATCAGTGTTCCTTTCATTATACTTGTGTTTCGTTTTTTCTTGACTTTTGTCGTTTGCAGGATGCCTAGATATAAAAAGGATACAAGGACCCCGCTCTCGCTGTCCTTGGTCTGGGGATTAGTGCGACCGATGGTTGTTCCGTGGCCTATTTGTGGATGTGCTGTGTTTAATTGAGTTCTCTGTGATGTGGTAAGTCACCAGGGACTCGAGTCTGGATTTTGCTATCAGATCTAGGAAGTAGTTGGCATTGATACATGATATGCACATAAAACATACCCTTCTCAACTGACCGTCTCACCTGCGCCCTGGAGCACAAATTCCAAATTCTATGAATATCCTCCGCCCCGCGGAAGTAGTTCTCCAATTATCTCTGACAATAGATGCATGACAATTGACAGATTTGCACTGATTATCAAAATTGGTAGCAATGTAAACTGTGTCACTCCCCTGATGATCTGTTACAAGAAGTGTCTCAAGCGGAGTTTCTGATAGTGCCAAGACATCAAGGGGCAGTCACATCACGTGATATTTGAAGCCCTTATCGATAACAAAACTTCCGCATCCCAGCTCTAACTATCTTCAACCGGGACGTTCCTCAATTTATATTCACCAGGTTCTGGCGTTGCTTGCAGTCTATTCGATCCCCTTCACCGTAGAACGAAAGGGGCGCATGCCGGAAAAAAAAAATCCCTTCATCATTTTACTTCCAATTGACGCTGGGTCAATGCTTTGATTGGTGACCAGCCATCCTCTTCATTACCCACAGCTCCCCGAATTGCCCGCCAGCGGCTCGCCCGCAGCCCTGATTCAGCCCGCAGTATTGTCAAACCCGTATTTAAATCAATACAATATGACATCCTCGTCCCCCCTGCTCGTCCTTCCAGGCGACTCAATCTCCTACCCACTGCAGCAGCCGAACCAGCCCGCCACAACAACGAAGCTCTCCTCAGGCCTCCGCGTCCTCGAAACTCCCGCCAACAAAACCAACACAACCTTAATAACAGCAACCCAAGCAGGCCTCCTAACCACCGATCCCAAACGCAACGCGTTAACCCTCCACACCTTCCCCCAACGCCGCTACATCCCCTCCCCCAACGACCTCCTCATCGCCCAAATCCACCACTCCAGCGTCGATTACTTCCACTGCACCATAACCCCGCACACTCCACATGCACTCCTGGGCCAACTAGCTTTCGAAGGCGCGACGCGCAAAACACGCCCGCTCCTTAAGCACGGCGACCTCGTCTATGCGCGTGTTTTATCGACTGGTGTCGGCAACACGGGCGGGGAGGTGGAGCTTACGTGTGTGAACCCGGCGACGAGGAAGGCGGAACCTGGCGGCCTGGGGCCGTTAGTGGGTGGGATGTTGTTTGATATATCTACGGGATTGGCTGAGAGATTAATGATGAGGGGCGGAAGTGAGGGGGGCAGTGGTGTTGTGGTTTTAGAGGAACTTGGGTCGAAGTTGGAGAGTCAGGGTGGATTTGAGGTTGCTGTTGGGAGGAATGGGAAGGTTTGGGTAGATTGTTCAGCTGCGAGGAAGGGGGCTGGTGGGGATGCTGATTCGGCGAAGGCGGTTAAGATTACGGTTGCGGTGGGGAGATGCTTGAGGGAGACGGATGAGAAGGGGTTGGGAGCTGCGGAGCAGAGGAAGTTAGTTGGGAGTGTGCTGAGGGAGATGGGATTGGGAAGTTAGGTTATGAGAAGTTTATCGTTTTTATTCAATGATCTATCCCCTTGTATATTGATGTCCTGTTGCCTTTGGGTTTTGGGTTTTATATCGGTTATATCGGAGTTGCTTTTTGTGTCGCATAAATATTTACATTAGAATTTGAGCATTGATCTAATACCCCTGAAATTCTAGGGAATTGATACGAATCGTACTCGTACCTCCCGTCGCAATCATGGTAGCAGCAGTAGTTCAATCCCATCGCCACAGTATCGTATGGAAATACCAACTTCCATCTCATCAGGAAAGTAGATACGTAGCCTTCGATCGAACGAAGTCAAAATACACGTCACGGTCATCAACGAGCAAGATTATCTCGGCTTTGGCCCAAACATCGCCACGGTTGCTTGCTCGGAAGAAGCATAATTCAGTCGCTGTTTAACCAATTCACGAGCTAGGAACGGAGTTAGTATATTTAAAAGTCAATTTTCCAAAAGATATACAAGAGAAGGCGTCAAGTTGGAGGAATTACTGGGGAAAGAAATCAAGAAATAGAAAGACATACTTGGAATATTCTTGGCCTTCTCCTCCTCCTGTTTAAGCTTATATGTAATCCATATCCGCGCGCACCAAGCCGTCACCAGAACATCCATCATCATATCATCCAGCGTAGCAGAGACAATCTGCAAGCGTGGCCGTCTTACTCCACGATCATCAACCTGAGGGTCGTCAGGATCAGTAGCCAACGTCTCAATCGCAACGGTAGCCCCACACCCATCCTGCCATTCCAGCACTTCCTGTCGCTCCGGATTCCGCGTCGGTTTCACGCGGAATACCATCGACTCCTTGTTCCTATATACATGCCATAGCACCCATCCCGTCTTCAGCAGCTGGCGGGTGGATTTCAATAGCACGATCCCGGGCAAGGTGCTGCGGCGTTGGCCGGCAATTTCCACTGGGCCATTTATTACCGGTCGATTGAATTTGTAGATGACCTTGTCGCGCGGGTTTGGATTGGCGCTAAGGGCTCCGCTGCTGGTGCGGCGGGGCACTAGCCGGGACACATCTATTGTGCTGTGACCTAGGTCGAGGTGCTGTGAGACTGCATAGAGGGAAGTGGCGGGGGGTGTGGTTGGGTAAATCAAGGTGCCATCTAGAGTTATATCAGAGAGGTCGGGCAGAGGAGGTTGCGCGGTGATACTAGTCGATGGAGTTGATTGCGGCGGAGGTTCAGGGTGGGCATGAGGTCGTAGTGGCTCTGTTGGGATGGATTGCTCCCGGTGGTGAGACTCTGTTTCTTCGTAGGCCGGTGGTGGGTCGGACGGATTGAGTCTCGTGTTATTCATCGGTGCTTACTTATTTTGTGTATTTATTAATTAATTGATTTTATTTTTTCCTTGCAGAAAACAAGATGGATATACACGGGTCGAAGGGAATTCTATTTACAGCCTTGTTGTTATGACGAAGTTTGTTCCCGCCACTGTGGGGAGGCATCAACAATTGAGCACTGGAAATTACGAGTTAGCTGGAATCAGCCGGTCAACCAACGCAGGGCAGCTTGACCAGGAAATGTATCTGATGTTCATGAGGGTGATAGAATATTGTATTTTCACTGTTCTTAGATCAATAAATATTATTGCGATGGATAGCCTCTGAACTATTTAGACCTCGATCTCGGAAACAGAATTTAAAAAATAAAAATAAAAACAACTTCGGCATACTACCACGCGCAGGCAACTCGCAATACTGACATGGTTTGTGTCCATGTACAGCTCATACTGCAATTGGCTCCCGGATCGGCCAGGTATGAGTTGATCCACGACTATGAATATCTATTCGCTTGATCAACGCCAGGGATCCAAGCGTCCTCCATGTCATTGAGAGGTAAATGTTTATTGCGGCCATTTGTAGCTTCGGAGAATGGTTAAACTCTAGTATAGCAGAATATCCAGGAATCAGGCCTCAAATATATATCTTCCTAGCAGAGGGTAAAGTATCTGTACCGGGAAATTGCAGCGCAGCAGCGGGTGTTATGCATTCGGGTAATCCATAGACTCGCTAATCTGTCTATAGCCGGAAAAATCCATAGGAAGGCATGTTCAAACCGATTTTCAAAAGTAGGACGCAACGCAACCGTGTCCCTTAAATATTTTGGACGTGCTAGTTGCACAAATGTCCCAGGTCCCCAATGATTGTGAATTGAAGATGACGAGAGTTCGGTGTCCGCAATTATTGAAGCTCCGCGGTCCGTCCCGTCCCGTATTGGGGACTCATGGCGCGCATCTATATCTCTAGTCTAGGTATGGTCGTATTACGGCGGGAGTCGCAACCGGTGTTTCCAAATTGTACTGTTCGCTCTGGCGTGCAAACTATGCTCGGTACAACCTCATTTCAACGTGACCGCAATCTCTACCATATTCACCCAACGAGTGCGAGACTCTAGGAGTTCCCCATTTGCATCGACTGCCTCGTTCCTCTGCCTCTTACGCTTCTTTGTTTCGGGTTTCGATTTTTGAAATGGGCCAGCAGTGTGGTTGGCCCCATCCGTGGATTGCGCAATGGCATCAAGTTCATGCGGAGCTTCTTTAAGTGCGTCCGGAATAGCATTGTTTTCTTCTTCCCTTTTTTTCTCCTGTTTCCGCTGAAGCTTCTCATCCTCCACAATATCATCAACCACCATCACGGCTCCAGTGTTCACTCTGATCGCGTACTCCTCTTTTTCCGCAAACCATTTCCCAACGCTCATCGCCTTTTCAATGGCTCGACCCGTCGCTTTGATAAAAACCTCCTCTTTTTTAAGATTCTCGGTACTCTCCGTAAGCTGGGAAAGCTTCTGCTTCTCGCTAACTTTATCGCTCAGATCAATCTTGGATATTGCGCGTCGTTCGGCTTGTCTGAGCAGCTTCTGCACGCGTTTTGCGGCGCTCATAAACGGTGTATTGGTTGAAACATAAACCACTTTGGGGATTTTCGCCCCGGCATAGGGAGAGGCGGCTGGTGGATGTGGGATTGGTCGCTTTTGAATACGTGCATCTATAGAAGTCAAGGTTGTGGCTTTAGCACCAGACTCAGTGGTATTGCATTGGAAAGTTTTGACGACGTACAACTGGGGACCTTTTGCATCTTTTTATTTTTCTTCTCGAACTTCAGTTCGGGGTAAGGATTTGGCTTTGCCATAGCTGCAGGTAGATAGTAAACAAGACGTTGGCCAGACAGATCTTGTAGTTACGGTGCTGAGCTCACACTAGCTGTGATTCCCTTGAAAAGCCAATAATAGATTGATAGTTTCATAGTTTCATAGGAGTGGTGTGTTTGCATTGTTTGCTTGGCTTATCGATAGAGTCGTCCAAATGCGGCAACTTTCCCCGGCCCAACTTCGCCTAAAGATTTTTTGCTAAAATTTGTATCTTGGGCTTTTTTTTTTTGTTTTTTTTTTGTTTTTTTTTCTTTTTGCGAGAAGTCTCCTAGCCTGGCAACGACGAAGGCAAATACAGATCGCAGATAGCAGCCTCTATAATCTTCCTTTTCTCCGCTAGTTTATTTGTGAATACTGGCTGTATTTACCCTTAACACCGCCATGAGTGAAGAAACCAACGGGGTTTCCACCGAGGCACCGGAGAGATGCGCCATCGGATTATCGTTTGGCAACACCAACAGCTCGATTGCGTATACATCACCAGTGAGTGAGATGCTGTAGGGGTACAATATCTTGAAATAGAGCGCTTGCTGACGCCTCTTGTGTTTTATTACTACAAAGGAAGGAAAAGCAGAAGTCATAGCTAATGAGGACGGAGGTATATTTGGACTGGCACACCCCTCAGGAACTTCGTTGATATTCAGCGACTAATGGACTAAATATGCACAGATCGCCATATTCCGTCGATCATTTCATACGTAGATGGTGAAGAATACGATGGGAACCAAGCCAAAGCACAGCTTGTCCGAAATTCCTCGAACACTGTTGCTTACTTCAGAGATTTCCTGGGAAAAGAGTAAGTACTTGCCCCTCACCTGTATCAATCTCGTGCATTTATACCCATCAGAGTCTCAACTAATTTCGCCAATCAATAGCTTTAAATCGATAGACCCTACCCCTTGCCATGCGTCTGCTCACCCCCAATTACATGATTCCACCGTGGCTTTCACAATCCGCGACACTACGAACGAAGAGCCTAGCACATTGACTGTCTCAGAAATAACAACACGCCACCTGCGTTGTCTCCGACGGTCTGCCTCGGACTTCCTAGGAAAAGATGTGAATGCAGCCGTTTTGACTGTGCCAACAAACTTCTCAGATGCTCAGCGCAACGCCTTCTCCGCAGCAGCCAAAGATGCTGGCATTGACGTTCTGCAGTTCATCCCTGAGCCAGTCGCTTCTCTACTAGCGTACGATGCCCGTCCTGAGGCCGTAGTGAAGGACAAGTTAGTTGTGGTGGCCGATCTAGGTGGCACGAGGTCGGACGTTGCCGTGATTGCATCGCGGGGCGGAATGTACACCATTCTAGCCACTGCGCATGATTATGAGCTGGGAGGTGCCCAATTGGACCAAATATTGATTGATCATTTCGCCAAGGAATTCATAAAGAAACACAAAACAGACCCAAGGGAAAATGCTAGGAGTTTGGCCAAGCTGAAATTAGAAGCGGAACAAACTAAGAAGGCTTTGAGCTTGGGTACCAATGCCACTCTCAGCATCGAAAGCCTTTCCAATGGAATAGACTTTAGCTCTACTGTCAATAGAACAAGATATGAGCTTCTGTCGGGGAAAATTTTCGCGAGTTTTGTTAAGTTGATTGAAGAGTCCGTGAAAAAGGCCGATCTTGACATCCTGGATATTGATGAGGTTAGTTACTCTATTAAAAAAACATCTATTTAGCTATGAAGTTTTTTTTTCTTTCTTTGTTCGCTAACTCATAGTGACACACAGGTTATCCTTTCCGGCGGAACATCCCACACTCCAAAGATTGCACGACTCGTCCAATCTCTTTTCCCCGCCACAACAACAGTCCTTGCCCCATCCACATCGCCCATCGCCATCAACCCATCCGACTTACCCGCCCGAGGCGCGGCTATCCAAGCCTCCCTAATCGAGGAGTTTGAAAAGGACGACATCGAGCAATCGAGCCACCCCATGGTCACCGTCACCCCGCACCTCGAAAAAGCCATCGGCATCCAACTGATCTCCGCCACCGATGACGCACACGCCATCTTCAAACCACTCCTCAACGCTGAAACCGCGCTCCCCGCCCGGCGCATTGCTCAATACGCCGTCCCCAAGGCCGGCGGCGATATTCTCGTCCGTGTCTGCGAAGGCATCCGTGAGATCAAAGTTACGAAACCGGAACCCAAGCCGAAGCAACCTGCCAAGGACGACGGCGAGGACGACTCCGATGATTCAGATTTCGACTCCGATGATGATGACGAGGAGGAAGAAGTGCGAGAAGTGGTATGGAAGGTATCGAAACCTATTGCGGAATTTGCCATTAAGGGTGTCAAGGCCAACGGGAAGGTTGAGGTTATGGTGGCCGTGAGTGAGCAGCTGGCGGTCCAAATAACGGCTCGGGAAGTCGGTGGAAAGGGTGGTGTCCGGGGTATGGTGGATGCGCCAAAGGCGGCGGAGAATGGAAGTGCGTAAAGCTATGTGTGCTTTCAGTTCACTTTATTTTTTTCGTCCGATTTCTTGTCTTTTACTCGTTCAAGCATCCCTGCCTTACCCTACTCTACTTTCCTTTTGGTAAATACAAAATTAGATCAATAGATAATGTATGTGTCAGACTTTGTCTTGTGTTACAAAGTTTTTTTTCTTTCTTCCTGTTACCCTTTTACCCTTTTTTTATTTTTTTTTCCCCCATTACAGGATGAAGTTCAAAAATAAATACATTAGATATTATTCTCGGTATTAAGATTGCCGAATCACAGTGAAGGAATCGCAAATCAACAGAACCAACCTCCCTCCCTCCCCCACTCCCCCGTTTTACCGAAATATCCATACCGCCCCCAGCCCATCAGAAACCCCTGGACAGGAAAATTAGAAGGCCATAAAAAGCCCCTTTAGAATCCACATGTTCAAAGTGGAGACAGCGCGAATGAAGCATAAACGCAAAAACGCCACACACCTAATTTGCGATTGCGATTGCGATTGGAGTTGGGTGCTTGTGATGTTTTTTTTTTTTTTTTTTTTTTGAAACGGAATGTTTCCAATTGGTCGGTTTGTGGCTTCCCCCCACCAGGTAGACATGAAAAGGGGCTATCGAATACCTTAGGGAAGTGAGAGGGTAAAACGAGGACCCATCGTTCACAGGCAAATAGAAATATACTAAACAGTACCTAGGTAAGCATGCGATCAAAATAGAAAGTGAGAGTTGGGTGAATCATTTCGCTAAACCAATAATTTCGACACGAAAAGTTTTCTTCGTCTTCTTCATCCCCATCCCCATCACAATTGTTCTGATCAAGTTCTCCGCGGCGCCTGGGGAATGCATAGCTGTCGAATATATCTCGTCAGTGACCCCTAGCGCCCTCACGTATACTCCTTGTCCAACGCTTGGTCCTCAGAAGCTCGCTTCGCGCGGCGGGACTTGAAAAAGCCTCTCCGTTGGTGTCCAGCCGTAGCTCCACTCGCAGTAGCTTCGGTTCGCCGCCCCGACCTGCCGGTCCCAGATACACAGTATAGAACGCTGGCGAGAAAGAGGAGTGCTACTGAGGTCCACATCCATCCAAAGGCCTTTGGCCCGACTTTGGCCGCCTGGCCGTTTGACGAGAAGTTATTGCGACCCTTGACATATCCGGCGCTGTTGTTATATGCAAGTTAATATCTGCTGGGAAGGAAAAGAATTTTTTCCCTTTAAAAGATGTAGGTACTTTCTGTCAGGGGCTTCAGAGGTTGGGGGTTCATATGGAGGGAAAGAAACATAACATACGTCATTAGAGTAGTGGTAAGGATCTGGAAAATTAGGCCGATTGTTGCCATGAAGGCGGAGATCCAGCCCCCAATGCGTGTGCAAAGAGCCAACAACCCAGTGACCATAGACACAAAGACAAAGAAAAGGCTGATCAGCATGAACGCGAACATGAACCGCGTAATGTAGAAGTATTTGTTCGTCCTAGCATTGGTTAGCTACATTGCTGAGATGTACATGTGTGTGCGGCCTCTTCCTACCCGTGTAGTTTCATACACCATACGGCACCTTATGGGCACAAAATATGGTTGAAGAAGAGCAGGGGGAGAGAGGGGAGGGGGCGCGGGAGAAAGGTTGCATACCCGATGAATTCAGGAGGCACGCCCTCAGTGGTCCCAAAATTCCGGTCTGATGGGGGATCAAGAGGGAAGGCAGGTGAGGTACCAGGGCAGTCATTCCTCCCATCGACGACACCGCATATATTCCAGAAGGTCCATCTCGACACATCGGGTGCCCCTGGGATCCTCGAAGTATCCGCTTCGAGGAACCATGTGCGATTTAGAGGGCTTGTATCTTTTGCTCCGCCTATTAGCGTGAGTATCATCATGATAAAAGCTCCGGCGGTAAATACAAGCCCCAATAGGGCGGAAAGTGGCCCTTTCAAACCAATGTCAGTTCCTGTTCATCCTGTTTGACTTCGATATTCTGGGATAGAGTGGAAACGCACTGCCAACACCCATAGTTTCGAAACGTCTGCTGCTTCAAGGGACAAGCAACAAACGAAGTGAGTCAGTTTCAATTGATCCAAGAAGTGGTCGTGTTTCCTTTCTTGAACATAAACGTATCACATTGGTAGCTAATGTAGGATAAAAAAGATGCAAAGAAGGAGAACAAGGGAGAGAGGTAAGACAATGGCAATGCTAAAATGCCTATGTGGTAGAGATTGAGAAAAGTGATCAGCGGCAAAAGCATGACAGAGTGAAAGGGGGAGTTGAACGGGGAGTGACGGGGTCTTACCTTGCAACACTCTTTCTTCCATGATATTTGGATTTATGACATAACCGATTCCCAGGACGATCTCTGCCGCTGTGGAGGCAGCCGGGCGATCACCCCACACACGACCTAGCTGGATGCGGCTAGGTTGAAAACCTTATTCCAACCCACCTTGAACCGCATTAGGGAAGGCGCGGGGAGGAGGCTCTGGGTCACGCCTGCAAACCGGCATTGTTTTTCAATGTTTGTTGCATGACGTCGTGTTGTCAACCTGTCATCGATTTGCCGCTGGAAGAAGCCGCCGCACGGTTTGTTTTCTATCGCGGTTACCGGGCCGAATCAACCAACTGTCTTCGCGGTGATAGCCATTGTCGTCAGCGCTCAGGTGGCATTTGTCCGCTGTGCTCCGGCTAGTCGCTTTTGTTTGTAGTTGCCAAGCGAATTTAATGTTATCCCGCTGTTATCTCTTAATCTATTGGGATCGCACAGCCTGTTGGGGGGCATTTCTCTGATATATCCGCTTGTTAATTCGATTTCTTTTTCCCACGTTGTGGATGCTCAAATATGGCTACCTGGGCATACCCGCAACTCCCACCTGATCAACTCAAAAAAGAGGAGGATGTTTCATTGGTAAACTCAAAATTATCCAAACAAACCCAACCATTCCCTTCGCTACCAATGCTAATTCTCAGAGTTGCTAGTAGGCCCGAGAGTTGAAATGGCTTCTGGGCTCCCTGCAAGAATCCTTGGCGTCTTTGCGGGAAGGCCTTCAGGAGTGTGCTGCTCTTTTAGCACCTTCAAAACCAGGCTCCACACTAGTTCTATCTTCGCTACGGTCTGAAAATGTGAAGGGATTTGTAACGAGGGTCGGAACCAAAATTATAAAAGGGGTGGGTTTTGTTTATTTATCTTTTGTTTTAACATACATTGGTTGCTGGAGGAGACATCTGGATATTCCATATGTTCCATTGGTAACTTAACAGGAGATAGACGGGGTTCCAGAAAGGAAGAAAGGTGAACTTACTAACCTCTACTAACATATGTTAACATCCAGGATATTCAATTGCGTTTACAATCATTAACCCCTCCCAAGGGTTCTAATTCCACGAGATTAACGATTTCTAATGAATCTACTGGGTCGGAGATAGCCCTTCGTCAGCTCGTGATCGTGCGGCGCCTAATTAACGAGAGCCTCGATGTAATAGACGTCAGCACATGGACTGGTGATCCTATGAATGCGAGCTTCATAGCAGGACAGTTGCGGTTGCTATATGATAATCTCAGCGAGGCTCGGTTGACATTGAAAGGAGAAGGCGAAGAGTCGAAAAAGCCATGGTACGAAGATAGTGTGGATGAGAATGTACGTTTGAACCCCTCCCCTATTTGTTATGTACATGCTTTTCCCTCTATGACCATTTCATTAACCAGGACAAAAAAAGTCATTTAACCCGCCGCTCCCGCCATATATGTCTTTTCATCTTTCTGTATCTGAAGCCGCTCTGGTTCTAAATCTACGAACTCTCGAGCCCGTGTCGCCTGATAGCACGCCTACAACATCCTTTGCACCTGAAATATCACTCAGCGGCTTCTCACTGCGTGACCGTCTCTTTGGGTCACGACATCCCGTCCATGACGAGTCTGGAGACGTATTCAGTTGGAAAGGAGAGGAGGTTAAAGTCAAGGAGAAAGCTAGAGTTGAGAGCCAGGACCCGAGCCTGCTGTCGGCCATGGCGAAGCTGACGGCTCTCGAACATGAAGTTTCGAGGTGGAAATCAGCTTTAGCAGTTGTCATGGAGGAAGACGACACGGATAATGATTGATTGGCTTGTGTTCCCGGCCGTAGCTTAGCCAATATTGGTTGTCTCATATGACATGGAGCTGAATGATGATATGGGATCAACCAATCATTTTTGCGGTTCAAAAAGGGTCAGAGCTGATTAGATAATCATCACGTGATAAATATAATTGAGGAACAAAAATTTCTAGGACAAACGAGAGTAATTCAACGATTGAAATTTTTGTGATGTACGGGTTCGGTTTCCATTCTTTCCGTGTATCTTTCATTTCATTTTCCATAGCTGAGACCGTTGCTGCACCGGCCGAGCTATGCTCTCCAAACGATCTTCGAACGTTTGCACAGCATGCTCTCAAGCCTGGGTCCAGCGCTTTTCATCCCCACAAGCTCTCCGAGCGCATCAAGCTGAGAAACGCTTCACATCGCAAATTCGCAGGTCGAATTCCCATCATTTCTACTCCAGTCGATCGCTAACTGCTACCGCTTTACGACCATCAGGCCGAACACCAGCCCAAAATGGAAGTAATGTCATTCAACAAAGGTTTGCCTACACGGCCTCCGCTCCCGCTTCTGTCGGTGACCATGGCGCTACGAGATCAAGGAAGGAGGCCCTATTCGCCGTAGTTGAAAATATATACCAAGCGGAAGATGATATCGTACAAAGTTTACAAGAGCTGGAGCTCGTCGATGCGTTTCCTCACCTTATTTACTCCGAAGACCTCGATTTAGTAGATACTATTACTGCGATTGTCGGTCATCGAAGTCAGGCAGATTTGACGGACAAGGTCACAAGGGTACGGCAAAAGTTTCGTGATTCGCTGCCGGAAAATATGTTAAGCGAGGAAGAGATGCGATTATATAAAACTTTATATGGGGAACCGCTGCCTATGGAAGAGGCTGCGATTGTCGAGGATGAGCCGGAGCCAGATCAGCTATTCAGAGGTGACGGTGACGGAGGCTGGGTTGAGATCGAACATCCCGACGCAAATACAGCCGTGGAGAAGGCAACGGAGCGTAATCTTGCTATGGCTCCAGAATTTGAATATGACGCTGAAGCCGAGGTGGATTATAGCGAAATGTCCGTGGAAGACCGAGCAAACTCGATAGCAAGAATGCTAGGAGGGGAAGTTGTACCCTCTGCCGATTCAAAAGAATCTTCGGGGGAAGTTTCCGAATTTGACCCTGATGACAGTGGTCCACGAACGCATCCTCTTACCACTGAAGGGAAGTTCACCACCGGGTCCAAAACGCTTTGGATGCCATACGACAGCATGACCAAACCAGTATCCCGCATGCTTTCAGCTTACTCCAACAAACACCTCGCAGAAACTGCACACAGACTGTTTGGTGGGCCAAATTTGCCCTACTCCACATCTACGCCTCCGAAGAACATCCCTCCAACCCCTATCCAACTCGATGCAGGACAACATATAATGTCGGAGATAGAAAGCCATGCTTTTCTTGCTGTCCTCTACCCCGGCATATACGCTTCCGTACTTCCTATTCTTGTCGAAGTTCGCAAACGGCTAGGGTCTAAATGGCTTCGCGATTTGATCGCTAAAGAAGGCGGCCCGAGGGTTCTTGATGTTGGGGGTGGTGGTGCGGGGATTCTAGCTTGGAGGGAAGTGCTAAAGGCTGAATGGTCCTTAATGTCTCCCGACAGGCCACCGCACAGTCCTATTCCCTTCGGGAGGTCAACAGTTCTAACAGGGTCCAACGCGTTGCGACATAGAGCGAGCCAGCTGTTGGAAAATACTACATTCCTTCCCCGCTTGCCGGACTATGTGCACGTGCGCGACCAAGCGACAACAACTGACGAAAGACCCGCTCCACAGCGCAAACAGTTCGACGTTATCATCGCGCCACATACAATATGGCCAATACGGGAGGATTATCATCGAAAAGAGCACGTGGAGAATTTATGGTCCCTTCTCAATCCGGATGGAGGTGTTCTCATTCTTCTTGAAAAGGGCCATCAGAGGGGTTTCGAGGCCATTGCAGGTGCCCGCGAAATGATTCTTGAGAGATTGATTGCATCTCCCGGATCGACAGAGTATGAAAACCCAACGCAATCTCCAGACTCTGAGAGGTTCATTCAGAAGGGCAAGGGGATGATTATAGCGCCTTGCACGACCCACGCCAAATGTCCTATGTATACAAATCCAGGGAAATCAATCGCGCGCAAAGATTTCTGCCACTTCCAGCAACGTTATATCCGACCTCCATATCTACAGCGGATCAGGGGTGCTAAGGACAGGAACCATGAAGACGCGAAATTCAGCTACGTCGCTGTCCAGCGCGGTGTGGATATGAGAGAAACCCATGGCATTGTTCAGGGGCAACGGGCAACCGATGCAGCTTTTGCCGGCTTCGAAGACGTCCAATACGAGGGCAATGCTGAAAGTAACGCCGAAGGAGAGGCAACCCCATTCCATCCCCTCTCCCTCCCACGACTCATCCTCCCGCCCTTGAAACGCCAAGGCCATTCCACACTTGACCTCTGCACCCCGGCAGGCAAAATTGAGCGGTGGACCGTCCCCCGCTCCTTTAGCAAACAGGCGTACCGCGATGCCCGTAAGTCTGCCTGGGGCGACCTATGGGCACTGGGAGCCAAGTCGCGGTCACCGCGCAACATCAAGCTTGGATTCGTAGATGATCAGAGCAGTGATAAGAAGTTTGAGAGACGTGTGCGCAAGCGGTCGTTGGCTGACGATATGGCGGAGGAGGAACATCAACTGGGTACTTCCGGTGCTACTGGGGAGGGGATGGGGTGGGGAGATGAGGAAGAGGATCGAGGGATGGGTGAACTTCGGGAGGCGATGGGTCGGTTGGATCCCTATGGGAGTAGGCAGCGGATTAGTAGGAAGCCGGAGAAGAAGAAAAAGGTTCCTGCTTGGGTGAAGAAGATGGAGGTGCGGAAGGAGAGGAAGGCGAAGCAGGCGAATGACTTTGGTGGCTTTGGTGATGGGTAATTGTCCATTTTGAAAGATAGTGTAGCATGGATTGGTTTGGAACCGTTACTACTGAAAGGGCGGCGTTCGGTATTTTTTACATGCTACGGATCTGCGATAGAGGGAAATAGGACGGTTTCTGGATCTGATTTAGAATTCTTTGTTGGCACATTTTGCCAGACCCATATCATATATGTATAATAGATTGTGTATAATAGTTTTCTCCCTCCTTAGAGAGGAGCGACATGATATTTTTAGGCTGTAGTTCTGGCGTAGAATCTTCTCTCAATTGGGAAGTCCATACAAAAACATGGACAGGTACAGAACAAATACAATACCATATCATACACTCGCGTCGCATCGAAATATTCATAGAGAGCTAAGATTAGTCAATGCTCCTAGAATCCCCATTAAATTCTCAGTTTCATCATCCGCAACGACACTCTGGCTCCTAGCCTTAAGTTCGGTTCAATCTCCACGTTCCTCCCCCTTTTTCAAGGGCCAACATAACCCACATTCCAGGGCGAAGGGACACAGGTCATATTCCTAACAAATTGGTATGTGAAGGTCAATACCGAATTTCGGTAGTCACAGAGTCAAAGGCAAACCTATGAAAACTTTACTTTCCCGACTTCGACTGTGGTAATTCAGAACGACTCTAGCCAGACAGAACGGTGTCTCCTCTGCCATAACAATTTAAATAGTTATGCAGGGGTGTTCTCATCGATACCCCATTGCCATTACCAGCCGTCCATTCATCCCGATATTGCGGTTCTCGCGTTAACCTGTGTAGCATTGGCTGCTGGTTAGACCATTCGCATAAGTAATGCAAAGCGCAACTTGAATTCCACGTGAACAGCAATTCAATATTCTTCCTCATATATGTGCAAGGTCGACATCATAAGATCCGTCCGTGTAGGTGGCATTTCCAGCTGAGGTATAAAAAATCGTAATACCGTATGTAGTGGGGCGCACCTCTCTTGGTACATAATAACAGTGATAGCATGCGTAAGAACAGTCTCACTGAGCCGCCATACTCTTCCTCAACTGCCTCTCCCTCTGCTTCGACTGCAACTCCAACCTCTCGACCGTATACTGCAAGCGCTCCTTTTTCTGCACCAATTTGCGCAACTCCGCAGCTCGTCCCGCCGCGGCCGTCTCTGTCACACTCCTCCCTGTTGACAGCGGCCTTCGCGTCTGATGGGAGTTATTACTTCGTCGGGAAGCATGTGGGCCATTGCCATCGCCGTCATCACCGTCACCATCATAGGATAATCTGCCTTGTTGTAACTCGTATTTAGCTTTGAGGGATTGTTCGCGCCGGGCTAGCTTTTCAACGTGGTTGGAGGCGAGGGACAGAAGGTGGGCGATGCTTGGGTTTATTTCATCATGGATAGCCTTTTGAGCTTCGCGGACTGTTGGTTCAGGGAGTAGTTCGAAATGCTGAATATTATTATTTTTTTATTAGTTGTATTTGTGGATCATTAATTATCACTTGGGGCGAACTTGGGGGATCTTACCCGTGTAGTCTGCAGCACTTTGCGGAGGCGGGGGAAGTCGCTGACCCCTTCATCAAGAATATTGATTGAGGATTCTAGCAACTGGAGGGAGGCCTGTAGAGAGGATACGGAAGAGGAAAGTGAGGTAGCCATCCTCTTCTTTATTATTATCCTTGCTAAATTTCGTCAATGTATTGAAGCTGTTGTTGTAAATATCTAAAACTCAACTTTCGTGATTGTTTACTTCGGCGAAAATCTTATAACTATCACGTGATATTTTCCCTCTCCAATTCCGACTTCCATCATTCAAAACCTTCGACACCAGGTCAATCATCTCAGGCATTACCACATCGCACTCCTTTATTGAACCCACCAACTGGCACACGTCAAGCCTTCCCCTTCATTCACACAATCTTCGACATGTCTCTCCTAGGACGGAAATACCCGGCGCCAGTCGGTATGTGGAATACACTATCCGCGAATGGCCCCATTAACCTTCAACAGAACTCATACTGACCACAAATTTCTCTACTCTATCTAGCCCGGCCAATGCTGCCCTTCTTCGCTGCCGGTATGCCGCATTAATGTCCTCATCGGATGCGCTCCATGGCGCTGATTCCTACAAGAATTCCCCTGGTAAATGGAGGAATGATGAGAAATTCAATTACTAACCGGAATTCATGGGCCCAGGTCTCATCGTCCTCTACGGCGTTAACGGATTCGCGAACCTTTTGATGAGCAGTAAGTGACCCCACCTTGTCGCTGTGTATCGCCGTTCGCCTTCTTGTCTCCAGATAAAGCAAGCGTTATGCAATTTAATTGCAACGATTTTTGGACGAGCATGTATACTGAGCATTTGTCCTACCTTTACAGCCCCCGAGTTCAAGAACGACCCCCGCAACCCCAACGCGAAGCCACTGAAGCCGGAGGAGAGCCATTAAGTACATGCGAAGGATCTTTTTTTATGATTTTTTGGAAGGGAAGGACCTGTTGATGGTGGGAGATTTAAGACACCCCAGGCTGGGATGAATGCCCTGTACATGTACATTGAATAGAGATGGATTGAACATCCAAGAAATTCCATTTTTCTTATCACTTAATCTTCCACCGCCTCTGAACACATCTTGCGGATATATCTGTGGGAATTGTAGCCCAATTGATGGTTCCCCTCGTTATCGTCGTTGCAGGATGTATTTGTAGCCGTAGATATGTAGATACATTCCGACCCACCACCACAACAATTCTGTGTAATAATAGAGATATCAGACATTGTAGGATTCAACAACTATTACATTATATCTGACCATAATTAATAGCTCCCAGTTTCTATTGTGCAAGATGGCAGCGTACAAATTCCTCCGTCGCTGGTGCTGGGCTGCCCGGTTGCGCTAAACCCGATTTGGCTGACCTCCATCCAGATTTCGTGATTTCGCCGCAAGAACAAATCCAAAAGAATATTCAACTCTATCATCAGCCATCATTCTTCTTCGCCTCCTGTTCTTAATACAAGAAAACGATCAAGGTCAATCCTTACGAAATCGCAATTATGTCCCAGTTTCGCGCCAAACGGCTAGACATCGCCGGCTTCATCAACCCGCGCATCGTCCGGGATCACACGAAGCGACAGGTCTTCAAGCAATTCGAGCCCGAAAGGTAATTGCAATCCCCGACAGCCCCCATGATCTACGACTATATCTTTTATATATAGCATCAAAAGGATATTTGCTTTATACAAGGTCATTGAAACCCACTGACCTCTACTCCGCCACATCTAGACAAGCTCTTCGCTACCTCGTCCGCAACACCGCTCTCCCCATGCGTGTCCGCGCCCAAGCCCAACTCAAGCTCTCCCAAATGCACTGCTACACCAATCCCACACAGATTAAGAACAGATGTACGGCTGGAGGCATAGCAAGGGGTGTTTTCAGAGATTTCAGACTGGGACGAGTACGTTTTGCCCTTCGTCCAATCTACATATTGGGTTTCTTGTTTCGGCTTCCACATGCTAACGCACGATCTTCCTCCCTTGTACAGTTCCAATTCCGTATGCAGGCTCTTGCTGGGAAGCTCCCGGGTGTCAGGAAGGCGAGCTGGTAATATATCGGCGCATATATATGGGTATATTGCGTGGGTGGTTGATTGGCCTGTTTTGAAGACTCTGCATTTTTCTCGCTCTGACTATTATCTTTGGAGCTCTCCGGCGTTTTTTTTTTTTTTTTTTCGTTTTGGGATGGGACCTGCGAAATAGACAAATATGTATTTAAATTATGTAACTTACAGTACATTGAATTTTAAAATGAAACAAAATATATATAAACGCCCAAAGCATAGAACATCTACTTCTCGATTTTCTAGTAATTCTTGCAACATTGGCTGGCCATATTTAAATAACTAGAGTGGTTTATTTTGCATTGGGCAAAACAACTCAGTCCATCATCAAATCTCCACCATCAGCAATCGAGCCCCAGCATTACTATGCTCAAGCATGCAATGCGATAAAGATCTATGTCTTTTATGTCTGTTTCCTTTTTACATCTATCTGCGGTCTTGAATAAATACACCCGAAACATAGCGGCAGGCTGCAGCTATTTTTTATGTTTATTTAGTTGGCACTTTGGCACCTTCATTCACAGTCCATTCACCAAGATACAAGTATCAATACAGCAGTTTTGCTTATGTTCTTTGAAATATCCATTTCCTCTATAGCGAATATAAAACATACATCTCTCTCTTTATCCTTCTATCTCTTCAATGCTAACCCCATTTCTCTCTCTCTTTTCTTTTGTTTACTCTCATCTACTTCACCCCATATACCGCACCACCAGACGAAGCATCATGTTTGTCTTCCGGGCAGAGGACTTGCCCAAGGATCCTGTCTTTCCTGCTGATCTGAAGCAGCTTGGGTATGCTCCAGATGAAACTTTGCTCATGGCTTTGTTCTTGTTTCGGTTCGACATACATGGAGAGTCCCTCGAGCTAATGGTAGATCCTAAACAGCTACTTCATCAATGACCAGGACCAGATCAAAAAGATCTCGAACCCCGAAGAGGACTTTGTTTTCAAAATCAATACCAATGATCGCTACAATGAGATGCAGAAGGAAGCTATGAATAGTATATATATATCTCACTCTACTTCTTCTCCTCTTACTACAATCCCGTGGCGCATTGCATACTACCACCATGCAACGCAAGGGAGAGCCTACATCGGCTCCACCATATACAAGGCTGACTCCATGAAACCATCTGTTTACTTGGTTTGAAAAACTATTAGCATGTATCCGACAAATCGTCATTTCCCGTCTCCTCAATCTGGGTCTCGAGACCCTCCGTCTCCCAATTGGCGCAGCAGCAAACTCTCAACATGTCTCCATCCTAACATCCCCAGCCTTCCAATCCCAGCCCCGCCTCATCGTCGTCTTTGGCGATCCAACCCAAGACCTGGGCATCTGGGCCTATCGCGTCATCAGCAAGAAGGGTATCAACATCGGCTCCGCCGTGAACTTTGCAACCGCGGTTGTAGGCGATAGCAGTAGCAGCCCCATGGGTTCTGAGTATCAAACCGCTAACACGAACGTCGCTAATTCAAGTAAGAATCAGGATCAGAAACAGAGCCAGGATAACTGGTCCAACTCCCGCACGGGAACGGGCCTTATTCTGACAAACCCAGGCCAGCTGGTATGGCACTGCGGCAAGGAACAGGCTATTTCGCTGCCAATGTGGCATGCTCTTCCTCGGCGCAGTGCCGTGGAGCCGCCCATGCGGATGACGTTCCGGAATAAGATCCCCGGTAACGAAACATGGCAGGATCACATTACTTATGTCTTTGAGGAGGTGCTGGGGAAACTTGCGGCGCCCGACGTGAAGATCGATGTCATCGGGTTGGCAGAGGGGGGATTAGGTGCCGTGAGATATTTGGCTGAGCACTGTATGTTTAACTCTGATACCCATACACACAGATGGAAATATATATATATATATATATATATATATGATCCCCCCCAATACGGCCCTCCACCTCCTTCAAGTCAATATGAAAACCGCCCCCTAACACCCAAAACAGGGCCAACCTGGCAATCCCGCATCTCCTCCATCTGCCTCACCAACCCCCTCCACGACACAAACCACCTCCACCCGCCAGAATTCGCCACCTTCATGTCCACACGCAGCCGCGCCTACCTACTCTCCGAGAAACCACTCAGCACGCCCGTTGCGGGCCGCTACGAGTTCGGCTGTAACTGTTATTCGGCCGGGGAGGCGTTGGATGTCGAGTCTATCATGCCCAGGGCCTGGGGTGGTATGCTGAAGTGGCTGGATGTTATGTTTGAGAATAGCGCGCTAGAGGAGGTTGAGGTTATTGTGGCGGAAGATGGGGAGGGGGAGGGGGATGTGGTGGCTTCTTAAAGGGATGGAGTGGGTGGGTGGGTACATGGGGTCTTTTTGAGGGTTTTGCGGAGGGTGGTGGTATTTTATTGCCCTTTTTTTTTTTTTCTTTTACCATGTTTTTCTACGTTTTTCTGCTGGGTGTTGAATACCCCCTTCTCGTTATTAGGCCGGGCGGTGCGTGCTGCATGGATGGGATATTTTGGATACAAAGGCATAGGCAAGATAGCAGTGAGTCTCGTGTGCTGGAAGCGATTGCTTGCTGCATACAACAACTTCTATTAATCTATTTGATTGTAAACACCCCGGGTTTTTAACGCACCATCTTTGTATACCCAATGCATAAATGCAAGCTTGATAGATGAGATGCAGAGTTATGTACTTGGAAAGCTATGTCCTTCAAGCTACCTGCCAACAAACACTACCAATAATTAATTACAAAGGCTCGAACTAGCCTGATAAGAAAATTCTAGATACTCAAAAGATAGTACATGGGAAAAGGCAAGAGAAACGGAAAGCAAGCTCTCTGCCAACTCCGCAGTGAAGTATATGCATAATGCATACATCCATATATCTATACTTTCCACACATAATATATGCATTCGGGGGGTATTTCTCAGCAACTCAGCAACCAGCACCCAACGCTATGCAGAACAAGGAAAAAAAGGAGCCATTAATGAAACCCTCCCCACCGCTCCTCCCCTCCAAACTCCCTTGCACCTAGGTATACCACATATATTACATAACCTTACCTCCCCTCCTCTACGAATCCCCGGCCAGACCCAAACCCAGGCGCACACCCCCAACAACAAACCTCCCTCAAAAACGGAAGCGGCTTCAACGCCCTCCCCCTCGCAATCCGCGACATCTCTGCTCTAAGCGTCCGCGACACCCCATAATCATCCACCTCAACACCAACGCCAACACCAACACCGCCACCGTCACCGCCATGGCGCGGAGCACTCATCCCATGCGACTCACAATCCCACCACTCTATCCATCGCGCCCGCGTAATCACGAACGGCCGGGCACAAACCGAGCACTTCTTGCCGCCAGCATCTCGGACCTTCTCAGCGTGCTTTAGAAGGTCGAGGATAATGGCGGGTCCGGCGAAGGTGTCTGGGTCGATGAGGTGGGAGATTTGTGGCCCGCGGTTGTAGGCGCGTAGGGCAATATCGCGGAGGCTGGGGGAGAACAAAGATGAAGACGGGGAGGATGATGGCGATGTTGATGATAACGTGGGAGAATAGGGGGAAGAGGAGGAGGACGTGGTGCTAGTATTAGAATTGGTGATTGGCTCGGGTACGGCAACTGGGCGCCCCTCCGCGTCGAAAAATTGCACGATCCCTTTTGCAATGAGGATAGGGATGGGAACTGAACCTGCGGATGCTGGTCGTATTTCTGTTGATAATGGTGCAGGCACGCTTATGGCTTCATCCCCTTCTTCCTTTCTCTCTTCTTGTCCTCTTTGAGTGAACACGCCATCTGAAGCGACATTACAATGCCACTCTGCCACGATCGAGCTCTCAGGCATGACGAACGGGTTCGGATGTACAGCCAGCTGTCTCATATGAGTGTGGTTTTTCTGCAATAGCTGCAACACCTCAAACGGCAGATAAGAAAGCTGATTCCCTCCCACGTTCAGTTCGCGAAGCTTTGTCAGGTTGCCAATGGAGCCCGGGATCTGTTCGAGCTCGTTGTGGCGTACGCTTAGGACGCTAAGATTGGAGAGCTCGAAAACTTCGGCAGGCAGAGTCTTCAGCCTGTTGTTTGTCATGAAGAGGCAGAGGAAGGGCTCGAAGGAGCTGAAAAACTGTTCGCAGTTGGGAGGAGACACCGAGGGTATTTTATCCATTTTGGGAATGATGGGGTATTTTGTGAATTGGGCAATGGGCCGGAGAAGGCCCGAAGGGATGGTGCGTAGGTTGAGATTTCTAAACTCATGTTAGCAGCTGATTGTATTCTTTCCGTTTTAAGGGATTAAGAATTGAAACAAGACGAAAACGGGGAGCGCAAAAAAGGGCATTGCCATACGAAATATCAATAAACTCAAGGCCCGTCTCAAGACATTCCGTAATAACTTTCCGCGCCTGGCGATGCTCAGACGGCTCGTCCACCTGCATCGCCTTAGTAGCATTCGCACGATCAACAGCTTGGCGGCTTCGTGCAAATATGGGACCGCGTAGGATAGCAGTTTGCTCTTCTGTAGTTTCAAGATATCCACTCCTGCCATCGGTACCAGCACCAGCACCAGCACCACCAGCAACGCCTGTAGCATAATACGGGCCAGGAACAACACGCCCATTACAATCATCCCCCTCCAACTCGCTATTATTCGACACCGCCGACTCAACAGAATCATCACTACCAAACCATACCCCACTGTCTATATTGCGCTTATCCTTAAACTCCGTCCTCCGCTTCTTTCCCGCCGTCGCATATCTGTCGCCCTTCTTCAGCATGATCTTGTTCTTCATCTCTGCCTCCTCTTCCCCCCACCATGTACCTCGATATTGGCGCTTCCTCGTTGTCTGCGTCTGCGCTCGACTGCCGCTGCTACCGGGACGCGTCGCCGCGTTCCACTCCTCCTCCTCCTCCTCCTCCTCCTGCTGCTGCTGTTGGTGCTGTTGGTGCTGTTGGTGCTGTTGATCTGAGCCATTATGATAGTTCTCTAGCGCGGAAGATTGGAAATCATCACTAGAGAATAGCGGGGGATCACTAGATGGCAGGCTGCAGTCGAACGTGAAGTAATCGCTGCGGTGGTGTGGGGGGTATCTGGACAAAGCTGTTTGCTGGCGGGCGCGACAGGGTGGTGGGAGCGGGATGTCGGAATCCATTTTTGTTGTTTGTTTGTGCCAATTTATATATATATATATATATATATTCGGGGTATTTATTTAATTCACGGCATGTTTGAAATATAGGTCTCCTTCGATATAGAGCCCCAATTGCACAGCGTGGAAGCTTGGAGCTGTTGTATGTACAATGATGCAGGCGCGTGGATCGACGACCGGATGGCTTGCTGAGTAAGCGCCCCACTAGTTAGTTACCCCCGGGCCTCGGGCTTTTCTGCCAGGAAGCAGAAAAGTTGTCAGTCATTTTCAAAAATATCATCTGTATTCTTGCTTATATTTTATCAAAACAAGTGTATTTTTAGCTGAAATCTGTGACAGTACAAAAAGAATGAGTACCTCACCGCGCACCGAACATGCTCTTATTATTGAGAGATTCCTTCAGAGTGAGTACAGTGATTTCTTTACATACTAAGAAGTTCTGATCTCTCTGAACAATTAACATTTTTTCTCTTCTTGAAATGTTCTCTCTCTTCTTGGACTCAGATGGGACTTCTATCTGTGATTCTGTTCTTAGTCATGGTGGAACAGGAGTCATTGTTCAATGAGATGATGCTGCTGTCAAACTGCTATAAGATATCTCTCTATATATTATAGAAAAACCAACTTTTCCGAGTAAAATGCCCTGTAACGTGACCTCACATGATATCACATGCACCCCATCAAATCCATCCATGGATATGTAGTGGCGCCTGCCAATTGCACCACTCTATCTACCCCCTACCACCGCCTCTAACGCCCCGTAGCACCCCCTATTACTTCCACTTCATACCCCTACCTCCATCTTACCACTCACTCTTACCAACCTCTACCACCCCTACCACCCCTACCACCCCTATCACCTCTACCACTCCTACCACTTCTACCATCTCTACCACCACTGCCTCTACCACTTCACAGCCCCCCCTATCACTTCCACTCCATATCTCTACCCTACCCCCATCTTACCACTCACTCTCTTACCATCCCTATCACCTCTACCACCTCTACACTTCTTCCACTCCGACCCCCCCTTACCACCCCTTATCACCCCTTACCACCTCTATCTCCCCTATCACCTCTACCACCACCACTGCCTCTACCGCCTCGCAGCACTCTCTATCACTTCCACTCTCTATCTCTACTCTCATCTTATCATTCTACCCCTCTCTTACCATCTCTATCACCTCTCCCATTTCTATCACCTCTATCATCTCTCTCTATCACCTTTTTCACTCTCTAGTCTCTCTATTATCATCATTATCTCTATACTCTACAGTCTCTTCTATCACTTTCACTATCTCTACTTCTCTCTTACTATCTCTATCACATTTTGATCTCTGTATTTATAGTATGTACTGCTAAATACTCTGTAATAAAATCTCATGTGATGTCATATACATCTCTTTGAATTCATGAATGAGATTGAATAGCTGACTCTACAGTCTGTACAGCTCTGATTAATCTGATAATGATGATAGAGATGATACAGAGTGAAAGAGAGTAGTAGAAGAAGTAGAGATGATGATAATGATAGAGAGGATAGAGAGTGAAAGAGATGGAAAGAGTGGTAACAGTGGATAGAGATAGAGAATGAAAGTGATAAAGAGGGTTGTGAGGCGGTAGAGACAGTGATGATGATAGAGGGGGATTGTGAGGCAGTAGAGGTGTTGGTGGTGGTAGAGGGAGTAGAAGTGGAAGGAGTGGTAAGAGGGTAGAGATAGAGGGTGGAAGTGATAGAGGGGGCTATGAGGCGGTAGACGCGGTGGTGGTGGTAGAGGGGGTAGGGGGTGGAAGGGGTGGAAGGGGTGGTA